TACCCTACAACCACCATAACCTACTCTTTATTAAATTCTTAAACCAATGCTAAAACCCTAATTATTCATGTAATATTTTAGTTAGCACTAAGATTTGTCTTTAACGTAATTGCATGCAGTATGACTGTCAACCGTTGATGCATATAACAACTACAAATATCTATGTGTAGTAGGTATCCATGCACACGTATATAAATATACATTTGCCGGTCGAAGCCATGCATGCGTGGGCAAAATTTTTCGATCGAGTTGCAACATAGATGAGCCTAGCTAGCTTTTCTTTAAAACTCATAATAATAGAAAAGAAAATTCAGATTAAAATCTAAGACAAACAGCACAGGATTTTGATTGAATTAAGGACCCTATAGGTGGAGTAGTGCTAGGAAGCTCTTTTTCACCTACCTCTTGATTGCCAATTTATGCCAAAGTTTCAACTGGGCATTATATATGCATCTGACCGCATTTTCCCACCTACTAGCCTTCTTTCTTTACGTCTAACTTCTTATGAGATTCAATATCAATATTAATTTGCTTGGTTCTTATATATCGAGAAATAAAGATGTTACAGATATCACATATTTGTATCATATGACGTGTATATGTCAATTAATAATGAGTTTATCTTATTAAATGTTAGTTGTACACATCGTTTGACATCAATGTATAGCTATAGATGATAACAATAGTCCAACTGATGAACGAATCTGATCTCTTATATTTCTAAAGCAAATAAATAAATGGTATGGAAAGGAAAAATCGAACTCGAGACATCAAATACAAAAATAAATATTCTTAACTAACCGAGCTACGTATAAATCCCTCACTGTTAGTCTAATAATTTAAAGTGATAATTCATTCACTCAGTGGGACTGTTCATCATGAGCTTCAACTTTATTTGGATGCCTTTGTTGGTGTTGCTATCTCCAACTGCAAACATTCAATTTTCGGGACCCTCCATTTATCAATAGCCCTTTTGGTTCGATGAGCTTAAGGCAGTTAATCTGGACACTGACGTGTGTACAATGACCTCTCATCGCTAAGTTCTTCCCAAGAAGCCAACATGTTTCAATTAACAAAATAGTTTCATTGCAGCCAAAATATTCACCCACCATATTCTTCATCTTATATTCTTGCTTGGGAAAATGTTTGGTTTTCAAATTCTTGTATCATATGTTAATAAGTATCACGATCATTACAATTTTATCGGATGTTCCCGAAGGAACCTTGATAAGTATCTTGATCAGTCTTATATATATTTTAGTTTGGGAAGGGTATATATATCATGACCATGTTATTTTAACATTTGTGTCATATTATTAGTTATTACGTAGCTCTTAATCTAGTGATGCTCGTCTTCTCAACTAATTCTTTTTTTTTTTTAAGGGGAAGCTACATGGATTATACGTCCTACATGTTCATTAAACTTTTTTTTTTTTTGTTATTGATTTTAATTGCATACACAACTAATTTAAAGTGGTAGTATTCAAATATTTAATCAATGTTCAATACTATGATTTGCTTCTTCTCCCAAAAATTCAATACAATATTGGAAACAAATATACCATTTAATTGGAAACAAGGACCAATATATAGTAAAAATAGATTTAAATTTGGGATTTTTAACGAAAAACTCGTGGTATTGTTCATTTTAACGAAAAACCACATTTTCACACTAAAAAGTCAATCTTGGTACTATTCACTTTACCCTTTATTTTGTCTTTCCGTCTTATTATCTTTATAAAAAAAATTAATATAAAATATTACATAGCTTAACCGTGATCGCATAAAATAAGAGATGGTAGAAAAGAAACCAAACAGGGCAGACAACCTGCTTCTATGTCATAAAAGATGAATTGCTTGAAATCTGTGGAGCGACCCTACCAATTGCTTTTTGTTTAAATTCGAACCTTAAAATCCAAGGCAAGTGAAAAAAAAACAAAAAAACAATAATGTATGGCTAGAACTCCTCAACTTCCTCCACGTGGCAAGATTAAGGGACGACCCCTTCTTATTCCCCCGTTTTCCCACCAAGTCCAAGGGAGCTCTTTTCTAAACCGCTCCACCTCTCTGTTACCACTGCCTTCCTCCCTCCCTCTCTCTTTCTCTCTCTCTCCAAACCAAATCCAACAATTCAATTTTCAAACATTTTTCTCATTCTTTTCCGTTTTCTCTGTTGGAGAGAAAAATGGGGCAGGATTCCGATTTGAAATCCCAGCTGGTGACTGAGATTTGCTCCATTTCCACGCGTGCCATTGCCTGCTCTCACAGGCATGGCAGCAGCAGCAGCAGCAGCAGCCCAGTTCATTCGCCGTCTTTCGTCGATTGGTATCGCCTTCTTAGAGTACGTTTTCTTGCACCATTTTGGTTTAAAATGCAAACCCATTTTGTAAAATTTCAAGATTGCTTATGGATGTTTGTGAAAATCTGACATTCATAGCTGGAGGAAAATGCTGGGGCAGATGTTATAAGGAAGAGATATCATGAACTTGGTAGGTTTTGGGTAAAACATTGCCATTTTACATACGTTTGATTGATTGGTGATTATTTATGGTTGGGATCTTTTATTTATTTATTTTTGTGTGTGCAGCTTTACAACTTCATCCAGATAAAAACAAGCACCCAAAAGCTGAAATTGCATTCAAGCTTGTTTCTGAGGTTAGAATTGTTCTCTTCTCTTCCCATTGTCCACCATTTTGGTTGCGTGTTGTTGCTCTATTTTCTCTATGCCACAAGTTGGCAATGGTCAATGTATGTGGAAGAAAATTGAAAATTCCATGGAGTTTGGTGAGGTTGTTCCCTCACCATACCCATTACAACCATATTCAACACAAATTTCAGTTGCACCTCTGTCCACTACAATGATGTAAACTTTGGGACCTTGGATAGTGATTTTCGAACTCTCTTTTCATTGTAATGTACTCTTCTATGTTCTTTTAGTCTTTAGACTGGATAAATCAAAGAGGAATAGAGGGGCGAAAAAGGAGAAGTGCAAAAAAGCAAACGGAATTGTGAAATCATCTCCCAAATAACACTATTATAATATTATTACATCACTCTTCTCAAATAGCAATTAATTTTAGCAAATTAACAGTTTAAGCGTATTTGTTACCGATATAATGCGACAGAGTAAACAACATATCAAGATGGTATCAATATAAGGTTGAGTCCCTAAAGCTTTATTTTAGTAAATATTATGCCTCATCTTAAGTGGGGTACAAGTGCTTCGCTGAAGGTTGAGTCCCATGTGACAGCCTGACAGCACAGATTGGACAACCAACAACATATTCATGTGTTATGATGTGACTGCATTCAATTTCAACTTATGAACCCAACTCCAATTTCTGAATTTTTATTTTTTATTTTTTTAATTTTTTGCAGGCATATTCATGTCTCTCAGATAGTGCAAAAAGAAGAGTTTTTGACTTGGAGAGATGGAGGAAGTTCTGCTTTGATTGTGGCACAATCCCCTACACGACAACCCACCACAACTCTCCCAGCACTGCCAATCCCGGTCCTTCTTCACACCACAAGCATTGCAATCCCACTAATCCAAGGCCTTGCAAAGTAATCAAGGGACTGAAAGTTATCAGCAGCAGATTCAGAGAGGAGGCAAAAGTGATAGAAAACTGCTTGAAGGCCAATGCAGCTGCAGGAAAACAATCCTCCTCGCTGTTTAGTCCAGCTGCTGCTGCTTTTGATGTGTTTCATAGCAGGTTCCCAAAAGAATCACCTGTTTTCAATCCATCCGAACATAAGGTTCAGGGATACCCTCATCTTCGGGCTCGAATATACGAAAAACCGAAGAAGTTTTGGCAGCTGAGAGCAGGGCATCACGTAGTGAATTATGAGCAGGGGAGAGCTGGTTATGATTCTCCAGTGTTTGAGGTCGGATCAGATAGAGGAATGTTTAAGAGTAGGTCTACTTGTGTTCGTTCATGACTTGTAGGCAAGTAGATTGTTACATTGATTAATTGAAAAAATGAAACGTCTTTTTATACGATTATTCATGGATGTCTTGAGAAAGTGACAAGTTTGCTTGAAATTAATCGGATTTTATTCCTTATTTTTAAGAATTGAATTACAGATTATAACGTACCCATATACTTTCTGTATTTGTCAGTAAATGCATAACAGGCCCGAAACTGGTTTGGGATTGTGATGCTTTAAAAAATATAAAAAAAAAAAGCTTATTAAAAAAATCTAGAACATCAAATATGTTTGGTAAAACAATTTTTTTTTTTAACTGCTGTCAATAATAGTAGAAAAACATAGGAAAGTAGAAGCAGAGTCTACTATGCTTCTAAAAAAATGTTTTTTATTTCAAAGTATAGTAATCAGTGCGCATTCAATGAAATTTTCAAATGGCAAGTATAACCAAACATATTTTACAAAATTACAATCATTATCCCTACATTATTCTCTTTAACAATTATTATATCACATTAAATACCATATCATTTTTTGTCATTTAACATATCCACAATAATTTATATAAAAGTTTACCAAACACTCAACAACTTTATTTTACGACTGTTTATTCTCACAGTACAGTAAACACAGTTTTTTAAAAAGCACAACAATATCAAACTAACCCTAAGTAAATAACATCATAGTAAGTAGGATTTGCATAAATATGTTGAAGGCTTTTTAACTAAAATAGTTCTTGAATTTGCATAACTCCTTACTTTGGTATTTGGAATTTAAAATAAATAAAATTAGTTCTTGAATTTATCCTCCATCAATCATTTTGGTAATATCCGTTAAATAAAATAAAAAGACAAAAACACCCTTATTTTTGTCCAATCATTTTGGCCCATTGTTTGATAAAAATTGAAAGTATTTTTGTCAATTTAATTCTTATTTAACAGAATTTTTAGCCAAATGATCAAAATGATTAATGGCGGACAAACTCAAAGACCATTTTTATTGATTTGAAATCTGGACCAAAGTGAATAGTTACGCTAATCTCATGGACTATTTTGGCTAGAATGCGCAGAATCTTGCTAACCAAAACCAAAATGTATAATTTTCTTAGATTGTACCAACCACATTACAAAATTGTATAAATATAAAGAGATACACTCAATACAAAATTTTTAAGCTGGCCTTTAGCTACATTCAGTCAAAAGAGCCATGCCGGCAGGTGGCGTGGAGCTGGAGCTGGGGTCACTTTGTGTTTTAGCTCGGGGACTATAGAAGACCACAACTTCCTCATTCCTTCTTTCCGGTGGCTACTTTTGGATCGGGCACTTTGAGAATGCCACCGTCTATCAACTTCTTCAACTCCTTCTTTGCCAGTTGATTTACCTTAGAGTCTGAGGATTCTAAGAATGCAGCAATTACCTTTCCGCTGCAATCACGGAGAGAGAAAATAACAAATTAGAAAAGAAAAAAAAAACACCCCGACAACTATAAGTACAGTACAAAAACACTTCAGTAGCTCAATTGAAGAAAAAACAACTCATCTATCCACATGTCGTACTCTGATTGATTATTAGTTGTGAAATGTTTCGCCCATTATCAAGTCCGTTGAGTATTTTCTCTAAACTATTGGGTTTGAAGTGTTATTCTCTAAAGAGTAATGTTATCGAGAACTTGCATGTGAAAAGACGAAAAGAAAATTACAAATAAGAACAAAAGAAAGAATCACATGCTTTCTGATGCTCAGTCACAAGCATCATAATACTGGGAAACAAGACAACGAGGCTGACCTGTGACCTTGGGCCCACAACTCACACTTTCCTTTGAGTGCTTTGTTCCACAAAGTGGAAGCAAATGTGGGGCAGTCCAGGATTAATTTTCTTATGGTCCGACTGGAATGGAAATTTTCAAGGATGTGTTCCTCTTTTGAGTCCTCTTTGGATTCTTGGGATTTCGGTTCTGCTACAAGAGATGCTATAGTTTCATATAACTCACTCAACTTGTCATCCAAAGTTGGGTGGAGAATTCCACCGGCACCCCCAGTTGCAACCTGCAAAACATTCAAAAGTTAAAAACACACGAAAATCGAACAGTGTCGAAATTTCTCCAACATTTCAAGCTGCACATTTGATAACCGGAGCCAGGAAATTGGCTAAAATTTTTTCATTGTTTAAAGTATCTGCATTAAACGGAACTAGTGAAATATGTACCTCATATATGACTTCTTTGCCAAAATTTGATCTAAGCAATTCCCCGGCACTTGTAATGCATACATCAACTAGCTTCTGCAATGCATACCCCATCAAAGTCCAAGTCTTAGTATAAAAAATGGTCGAGCTGAATTTCAAATCAACTTCACTAATAATATCTCTGGTTAAACTGTTTTGTGTTAAGGCAACAAACCTCAGCCAGCCCACTCTGGACTAACAACTCCTGCCTTCGAATGGCAGGATCCTTTTTTCCCCCCTCAACCGAGTGGAGGCCATCCTCAGCATTCGTATCCGCTTCATCTAATTCCAAATCACGACTGCCCTCTTCACCAGAGTTGTTAACCTTTGAAGATTTTGTCTCGGAATTGTCATGTTCAGCCTAGGAATAGATGGAAATAGAGTAAGTTCTCGTGCATAGATGGAAATAGAGTAAGTTCTCGTGCATATGAATCACTAGCCAAATACATTTCTAATTTCTACAAAAAGAGAATAAAAGATCTACCTTGTTGGAAAGAGAAGGGATAGACAAACTGAGGGAAGCCAGGTCATCGGGAGTCAAATAGCGTGAACAATTTGGATGAAGTAACTGCAGTAATGGGCGCCTTCCGTTCTGAAAGATTGCAAACAGAAAACCATCTCTTAGGAATGTAGAGAGTAAGTTGAAATAGGGTTACTACAGATTGTAGATATGAAAACATGATCAAGCCTTTAGGTGGTAGATAGAAATGACAACCTTATCAAGAACAAGATCCTTTAGATTTTCTTGAAGCTCATGAATGACAACCTGTAAAAAGTAGTAACTGAATTAGAAAGGTTCACCAGAAATCTGTTTATACCACAACCCCCCTCCTCTCCCTCCACCACCCCCTGCAGTGAAAATATTAATAATAACAATAAAACCTTATCTGCAACAAACATCACAAGAAAAGCAGACCTTTGTAGTAAGCTTCGTATCATCAATAGTTGAAACGAGGCAAACAAGCACCTGGGAAGTATAGAGTGTATTAATTTCAGATATGCACAATATTATAGTAAGCTTTACGAAGACAACTGCAACAATACAGAAAGAAGTATAGAAATAAAAAAATGAATGCATGAAATCACAAATTTAGTGCTAAAATAATGAAAAAGGGAAAAAATAAATAAAGTCTCCTAAAGCTTTACCATACTTCCACCTTGATCAAGAGCTATTTTATGAACGTGGCCTTTCATTCCTTTGATTATCTTCTTTCTTTCCTAAATACAAGTCATGAAATTAAACGATAATGTAGATTAGTAGCCAAAATTCCAACACATATATTCAACTTACATCAATTTGCACTTGATATGAAAACAATCAACCTTTGAACTGCCATGCTTGACACAAAGCATCCCAACCTTAGATCCATCCTTTGTGTGGATCACCCGAACAAGAAGTGGGCCAGACAACTGTTTAATTACATCTGTGGCAGAGAACTTAAAACCAAAAACTTGATATTTAGAAAGGGGAGACAAAATTACAAGTAAACGCCTGTATCGTAGGCCAAGGAATTGGGATGTTCAGGAAATGATAATTTGCAATTACTATCTCAATCACACCTGTTCAGCTATTGTGAAGTACTCTATCAACACCCTGTGTACTATAGAGTGATCAATTATTCCTTTCTCTAAAATTGGTTGAATCACTGAGGTCATGTGCCGCAACACCAAAGATTTCTGCAGATCTAGCTTTGAAATTATATCTAGTAACCTGAAATTTGATACAAAGTGCAATGAGAATGTGATAACATTACATTTGTGTAAAATGATTCTACAGCTGTTCCTTTACCTGCCCTCATTCTTCGAGACCAAGTCCTTAAACAACTGAAGCTCCGTAGAATATAGTTCCACCAAAAGTTCATGCTTTTGAGTTGCATTTCCCAATTGGTATGCATGCTCAACGACTATAAGAGGATTTAGAAAATAGCAATAATATTATAACTGCTTAGAGTGTGAGAAAGGAAACAAAAATGGTTGGTTGGATATTGTGAGATATATCTCCAAGTACTGCAGAGCGCATCTAACATACCTACAGAACCAACCATGTGACGAAGAAGGGAAGCAACATGTCCTCGGAGAGATGAGATAAATGCCGCTAGCTGCATTTTGGAGGCTTCCAAATAAAGAAATGGTAACAACTTAATAATTTCTCAGAAACTAAAAGGTTGTGCACTACCAATCATATTCAAACTATAATAAATTTGTATGAAAGTCAAAGACTATAGTTTATACACACATACTTCTAAGCTGAACCATACCATTGTCTAACATTTTGGTCACCAGATGAACAGCATACGTGTTGCATGCAAGAGTAAGAAGATGTGGCTGAAGCTCCTCAAAAACTGCATCCTTTTCCGCTTGTGAACAGTACTTAACGCAAGTCTAAGGTAAAAGGAGAACATAAATACAGGCTACTAAAAGAAAACAAAAACTTCAAACTTCAAAGTATTTGATACATGAAGATAAAAACCTGCAGAACACGAGAGGACACATGGGAGCTTGCGATTTCAGGAATTTTCCCCTTCATTTTCTCTACCGCTTCACTCACCAACCTTACCAAGGTTCATAGATAACAAGAATAAGCAAATGAAGAATGTAGCTATAAAGAGGGATGATTGAGGTAGAATTGCATTATAACTACATACTTGGATCGATCTTCTTTGGAAATATTTCGTTGCCGCATCTTTTCCCACAGATGTGCAAGCTCCTATTAAAATAAGGGGTAAAACAAGGTTCATCCCATTTTCACAATAAGCACGTAGTTTGAGGATTTAAATGTGGTTAAGTTAAGGGGTTGTCTTTGCACATGTAACACAATGAATGATAGCTAGAGATGAAGCGTGAATTAAACGAGGCAGTGTTTTGAGCTAAAAAATGAAGTAATTTGGAGTGAGTACCAAGCCTGGTGCACATTTTTGCATGTTATAACAAAAGGCCAAGTTTCATCTACTGATTAACATTCGAATTATGACAAACAAGCACAACCAATACCTGTTGATGTTTTCCTTTTCCTATTACGCTATGTTTGGATGAAGAAATTTAAGATTACTAAGGAACTTTAAAATGACGGTAGTTGAAATGACGGGATTTTATTTACTAGAATTTGTGAATTTTCTTGTTTAGTTAACCTAAAAGAACAATAGAATTGAATATGGAATTTGTTATTTTTAAACTCTCAATCATAGAAATTGGGAAATGACACCTATTTACCTGGAATTTAAACTTGGGAATTGGAGATCCCAAATTCCAAGTTTTTTTTCAACGTGGAAATTCTAAATTTCTATGTTTATGAATCCGAACAAAAGAATTGGTGCATGTCAATTTATAAATTCTGACTTTTACCCAAATTCCAAGTTTGTTTCCCTCATCCAAACATAGTGTTAATCATTTGCAAATTCAAATGCATATCCAAACAATTTAGAATAAAAAAGAAAGAAAAAAGGGGGAACAAACACTCACTTGCTCTAAATTGTAATGACGCTTCCGCTTCTTCTTCCTAGCCTCTGCAAGCTCCTGCAACAAAAACCCACAAATCAAAATTGCCGATTTATCATTAAAAAACAAAACTCAGCAGCACATTCTTATTGCTGGAAACAAAAAAAAACACCCAATTATTTCGTTCACGTTGATCAGATATCGACCTTGGCACGGAGGCGGCCCTCTTGCTTCGAAAGCGGAACTTGTTTCTCATGATCGAGTCCCGGTTCTCGGGGCTTGAAAGGTTTGGGGGGTTTCTTGAAGTCGGTGCTTCGAGGATTTGAGGGCTTGGAGTCGAGGAGCTTGGGCTTCTTGGAAGTCGAGCTGTTGGTCTCCGGCTTATTGCCTGGGATTTGCTTCCTCTTCTTTGGCGAGCTCTTCTCCTGCTTCTTCGCCGCCATTGGAGTAAGACTGGAGTTCTCTTATCTGTTTAGAAGAGGACAGTCCTGTTCTATCGAAGGGTTTTTCCAGGGTTTTAGATTTCGGGTATGGGCCGATACGGGTTTGCTTGAAAAGCATATGGGTTTCCCGGCCTGCGGCCCAAATATGGGTATACCGGTAAGTTAAAATAAAATAAAGGCTTAATTGGATTGCTCTGTGGCAAAAAAAATCGAGAGTTAGACGAAATTTTTAATTTTGAACATAAATTTTAAAAACTTCATCGTATGGGTTTAAAATCCTAATTTTTTAGAACATTGGCTATCTTTCAACTACCTTTACACCATGAAAACTATTAATTCAATTAGACCTAAAATAAAATTAGTTACCTGAATTTACGTTTTTCTTTCCAGCAAAAGATATATAATTTTATTAGTGTTAACGGAAACGATTACATCCTTAGAAATAACATTAAACAACAACGTAAACTCAAATACAGTTCAATGATTGAAATACAACGAAACCAACACAAGCATGATGTTGCCGTGTACTATTTTTTTTGAAATACCACTATGCTTACACTACCTTAGGCCATCTCCAACCGAAGGATCCAGAGGGCCAGAGGGCTGAAAATAGTTTGAAAACCGTCTCCAACCGAAGGCTAGGCTAGATGGCTCGTGAAATCTGAAAGGGTCCCACTGAATCTGAAAGGGTTGAAAGGCTGGCGGCATTCCTGTCGGTTAGCTAAAATTTAAATGCAACAGCTAGCTGATGTCAGCTAGCCGTTGCATTTGATTTTATTTTATTTTTTTACAGTTTTATTATTATTTTTTATTTAGAAAAAGTTTCCTATAACTTCTATTTCACAAAATCTGTTTCATTTTATTTTAAATTCTATTTTTTTCTTATAACTTCTATTTCACAAAATTTGTTTCTTATTTTTTTTAAATTATATTTTTTTCCTATAACTTCCTAAGCCATTATACAACATTAAATTAAATTAAGTAACATGAAACAACATTAAACAATATGAAACAACATTAAATAACATTAACCAACATACAAATTATACAAAATAAAAAAAAAAACATTTAACAACATGAAACTCAAACAATATTTTTAAAAACATTTAACAACATAAAACTTAAACGCCTACTCCTCCATACTTCTTTTGGCCCAAAGATGTGCAACAAGATCTTATTGTAGGTACTTGTTTGTGGCATGAGAACATATTATTCTATAGCGCCTCATTTACTTATTTATAGAGATACTACTAATTTTTGGATTGAAAGGCAAATTATGCTCATCATATATTTTTGTACGAGCCCTTCTTGACCTATTTGGATCTTCTTGGTTGTCATCGGACTCTCCATCAATATACCCATCTCGCTCATCCTCCACTATCATATTGTGTACTATGATGCAAGACATCATGATGGAGTCCAAATTTTATCAACTCCACCCTCTTACCAGTTCGCTAATGATCTTCTACTGTGCTTGTAGAATACTGAAAGCTCTCTCAACATCTTTCTGGTATGCCTCTTGGTGTAAGGTAAACAACTTTTTTGCATCATTCCTAGGGTTTGGAATTGCTTGAACAAGTGTCGCCCACTTTGGGTAGATGTCATCTGCCAAGTAATACCCCATATTGTATTGACAGTTGTTGATGTAGTAGTCAAGTTGGGGTGTTTTACCTTCTGTCAAGTTATTGAAGAGAGGTGAATGCCCAAGAACTGTAATGTCATTTTGGAATCCAGGGACTCCAAAGAAAGCATGCCAAATTCATGTGTCATATAAGTCAACCATCTTTGACACAACAATTGGCTTTCTCAACCTTCCGCTAAAGCCTCATTGCCATCCGGTGGGACAGTTCTTCCAATCCCAATGCATGCAATTTAATGACTTTATCATGCCGGAAACCCGCGGTCTTCAGCTTTGCGAAGGAGCCGCTTCAGATCTTCTTGATTTGGCTTGCAGAGGTACTCGTCGTTGTAAACCTGAATAATTGTGTCACATAATTGTTCAAGAGTATCAAGGTATGTAGACTCAGACATACCATAAGTTTCATCCATCAAATCAGCTGAGGAGCCATATGCCATCATTCGGAGTGCAACAGTAACCTTCTGATAAGGTGAAAAACCAAGGCGACCTGCTCTGTCCCGCTTCTGTTGAAAGTATGGATTGACGTGTTAGACATCACGAAGTAAATGCTTGAAGACATGACGCCTCATCCGGAAGTGACGTCTGAAATCCTCTTCTATGTACACCGAGTTGGGGTCGAAGTAGTTGTTCATCAGATTGGCATGCGACATTGCTCTGTTTCGTGGTTTGTAAGAGTAACCAACAATAGAGCCACCCCATTGAGGTTGTTCCTCAGTTGGCTAATACATCATGGTCACAGTCATGGCTGCTGCTCTGTTTTGTTTGTTGCGCCTTACTTGAACTTCTTCATCAGACTCCTCATGTTCTCGTCTCATTTGCGCTCATTTTGCTTCCAATTTGGAATTGGATGAGGACCTCCAGTTGGAATCCGAAGACGATCCAAAGTTGGAATTCATTGCAAACTTGAATTAAAAAAGATTGAATTGAAAGAGATTGAATTGAAAGAGATTGAATTGAAAGAGATTGAATTGAAATAGATTGAATTTAAAGTTGTGTGAATTATAGCTCAATATCCACCTTATTTATAGCAAAAGAAAAATTCAAATCCAACAGCTAGTTGACGTCACTTAGCTGTTGGATTTGAATTTAAGTTGTAGTTTTTAAATAATAAATTATGTTTGGCCCTATGGCCCTTTAGTCCTCGGTTGGAGACGAAGGCAAATATGGCCCTGTACTGTTCATTAAAATATTAATTTCTTGGTGGACCAGATGGTTAAAACGAGCCATTTGCCCAACCCTAGATTGAAGATGACCTTATATGTTTACAATTCATTTTTCTCCTTCAACCAAACCTACCCATCAAGGCTGGGCCAAGCTTGAGGCAAGCAAGGCCAAAGACTTGAGCCACAATTTGTTCAAAAGCATAAAGTTTGAAACATTTCTTTATATATATATATATATATGTGGGGGTTGTGGGAAAATATTTTTACTGTTTTTGAGCTTTTAGGTTATATGACATCCAACCGTCTTGATTAATTTATCAAATAACATGGATGCGGATGTGGTTATATATTTATCAGAAAAAAAAAATTAAAATAAAAAGGTCACAAGAGCAACTAGTTCCAAAGGGATGACACAAACAAAAGTAGTGCAGTCCCAAATATAAGAGTTAGAGCCAAGGAGTGTTCATCTGGAGAACGATCGCCAAATTACAAATTCAAAACCAAGTACATGAAGGATGCAGATTTATTCAAGAAGAATTAGGTTTTATTTTCATGGAAGATAAAATAATTTTTTGAATGGAATTATTCTTGTTTGGATTTCATATTAGCTCTTTTGCTTTTTAGTTGACAAATCGTATTCAGCCTGTTAAGAAGTCACTGCATCAAGTATGAATTTCGGCAATGGCATAGGTGGTTTTTGTTGGAGAGTTGCGGACCTAAACGGCATATCTGCAAGATGGATCCGGATTCTATCTTCTATTTTTTTTTTCTTTTCAGTCCATTTATATTCGGAGAAGGGTGGGTTGGGGAGAGAATCTCGAGATGAGAGAATCCTACCATGAGCAAACTTTTAATGCAATATATTTAAAGAAAGAAGACGTCAAATATATATAATTTAAATTTTTAACGTACGGCTCTCATTGACTAATAAAATATAAAATATAAAATAATTCTAATTATATTTTAATAGTTATAGTAACTATGAGGCCCAATATTAATTACAAAATAAATACATATACATTAACACCATTTCCAACCCTTGAAGTAAAATCTAATATTTTTAACTCAAAAAATTTAAGTTTTAACCCAGAAACAGTTTTTCTACTCCAAGCCTTCAGGTCTAAATTTTTTAGCCCGAGATTATTAAGAAATAAATTTAGGCTAATTTCTTTAAGCATTTAAAAAAATAATTATGTACACTATCCTAATTTAATTTTATGAACATTTTAACTTAAAAAATATTTAGATTCCAATAAATATTGAAAAATCACTAAATTTGGGTGATTTTGAGTTAAATAATTTTTTTTAATTATTTTAGCTGTTGAATTAAAATTTGGGTCGTTAAATTTTTTTTACCGTTGGATTTGATTATATTCGATCGCAGCCTATAGATTCAATAAATATATAAATATAAAACTAAAAAAAAAGTTTGAATATGGACCGTTGGATGAACTAACGACCCATTTGATTGTGACTGCACAATCAGAAAAAGAGCCATTAGGCTCATGATTGCCATCAGACAAGTGGGCGACAAGCCCACATGGGTGCAACTTTTCTGTTGCTGGGCTTGGTGCGTGCCGAGCGTGCACGTGTCCAAGCCTGACATTTGGGCTTCAAATGCCAAATTTCACTCTCACTTGTTGGCTCCACCACTAATTTTGGGATAAATCTTGAGGGACATTTGAGTTTGTATTAGGTTCTAACATTTAACCCACTTTAAAACAAAAGTTGGAGAGAAATGAGGAGGGAATAGAAGAGAAAAATAGACTTACTCCAAAAATTGGAGTTGGTGTAAAAAAAAAAAAGATTTAACATTTGTATCCGCGATTAAATAAAAATTTGACGCTTTATATTTGACATTTAACAAAGGTTGCAATCGTGTGTCGCTGGTAGGACATCAAGTGGAGAGCTTGACACGTAGACACCCGACAATGAAATGGGAAGTGGTGGACGTGACCCCGTATATTCAATCCCATTTGATTTTTCAGCTTCGATTCCGGAACCGAAACCTCCTTTTCAGGACACCAATCATCTACTGTCCCCTCCCAGCAACCACATCTCTCCAACCCATCAAATTCTGACACGCCTACACAACAACCACAGCTTCAACGGTCCTCACGGTTATAGCGCCGCACCCAATAACCGCCCCTAACCAAGTGGAATCTCCTCCTTTTACGAAATGATGACCCACTGCGCTGCGCCTCACAGTTCTTGGTTCCCCACTCTGTAGATAAGCCATGCTGCTTATTATCAACAAGCTTATCAATCGCTCACTTTCAGTGATAAGTTATCAGTGATGGCTGATAGGTGGGTGCAAAACAAAGACCCTGCAAACCGCATCGAAGAAAGTGCGAGCAACTCCTATTTTCTCACTCTCCCTCTCTCTCTCCTCTTTATCTTTTTCTCCTTTTCTCTCGTTGTGCTTCTGCACTGTTGTCGTTGAACGCCAAATCATGGAACCTGAAACCCTAGACCCTTTTCACTTGCCCTAAAAACCGATTGAAAAACCGCCCACCTCCACCCAAGACGCCGCTGTTTCCACCCATTTCTCCTCCGCCGCCTCCTCCCCCGCGAACCGAAAGTTTCGAGCTTGAGATTTGAAATCGACGGCCGAAGAAACAAAGATGTCGTCTTTGAGCAGAGAACTGGTGTTCCTGATCCTGCAATTTCTGGAGGAAGAGAAATTCAAGGAGTCTGTACACAGGTGGGCATTTTTTTTTTTTTTTACTTTTCAATTTTTGGGGGTTTTGAATTAATTTTAGCGGTTTATGGTTTGAAATTTGAATTGGTTGGGAGCTCAGGCTGGAGCAGGAATCGGGATACTTCTTCAACATGAAGTACTTCGAGGAGAAGGCGCTGGCGGGAGAGTGGGATGAGGTCGAGAAGTACCTCTCTGGGTTCACCAAGGTCGATGAGAATCGCTATTCGATGAAGATTTTCTTTGAGGTTCGAAAGCAGAAGTATCTCGAGGCGCTTGACAGGTTTCGATTTTGATCATTTCTGTTTTTCTCTGTGTGTATGCATGTATGATTGTTTTGTGGAATGTGTTAATTGTTTGTGTTTTGGTGATGGGTTTTTTTGTGTTGGGAATGATGTCAGGAATGACAGAGCTAAGGCAGTTGAGATACTGGTGAAGGATTTGAAAGTGTTCTCAACGTTTAATGAAGAATTGTACAAGGAAATTACGCATCTTTTGACTCTCGAAAACTTCAGGTGAATCATGTTTTAGGTTATTTTGAACGTGTATGTAGGTTGGGTTTTATAACTCTTAATTTTAATCTGATGCAGAGAAAATGAGCAGTTATCGAAATACGGTGATACTAAGTCAGCTAGAAGCATAATGCTAGTAGAGCTTAAAAAGTTGATAGAAGCAAATCCTCTTTTCCGAGAGAAGCTTGGTTTACCCACTCTAAAGGCTTCACGCTTGCGAACTCTAATTAATCAAAGGTACTTTGGTGTTTGTAATGCCTTTCCACTTTTGCATTTTGTATGAAGGTAGATCTCGCAGTCAATATCATTGATTACAGTTTGTAAAAGTTGTGAAGCATTAAATTATGGTTATTGCAGTCTAAATTGGCAGCACCAGCTGTGCAAGAACCCAAGGCCAAATCCTGACATTAAAACCTTATTCATGGATCACTCGTGTTCTCCGACAAATGGGGCTCGTGCATCCACGCCAGTTACTCTTCCAGTTGCAGCTCTTGCGAAGCCAACTTATGCTCCTCTAGGAGCACCTGGTGGAGTATGTTCATATCCTTCGTCATAATTTTATAGATGTTGAAATTTCTTTCAACTATGCTGACGTTGTGATGTTTCAATATGCTTTTTTTTTCCGCTGCTGTCGTGTACAGCCTTTTCCGCCGGCTGCTGCAGCTGCAGCTAATGCAAATTTAGCAGGATGGATGTCAAATGCTAATCCTTCCTTGTCTGTGCAATCAGCTGTTGTTGCTGCTTCACCCTTCCCTGTTCAACCCAGTCAAGGTGTGTTTTTCATTCTTCTGAAATTTAGGCTACAGCTTAACAAAAGTTGAAGAATATTTTTTTGGATCCATGTTTATTTCACTTTCATTCTTTGTTTTGAAACACAATGTTAATAAGGTGATAATGTAGACTTAAGAAGAAAATATAGTCACAAATTTGTGTCAGTAAGGAGTAAGGAGGTTAAACAAACTCTTCTAGATTAGTTCTTTTGTGCTTGGTCATTCCGTTTGTTTATTGAGCATAGTAAGAATAAGTAATTCATTTATCACCAGAAGTATTTACTGTTGAGCTTGCTTGTCATTGTTTTGCTTGCTTAAAGTATCAGATAACAGAATATAGTTCATATTTTTCAAGCTATTTGGTAATTGAAAACAACTTTGCTGCCTGAACAGTTTCTGGTTTAAAGCATCCAAGAACACCGTCAAATGCTCTTGGAATGGGTGATTATCCAAACTCAGATCACGAGCAACTAATGAAACGCCTACGATCTGCACAACCTGTTGATGAGGTATTATTGAACAGATTAAATTTTCTGCATAATTTATGGATGCCCTCTTTCTTGCATTTTGTGGTTCTGTATCTAGATGGTCCACTGTTGCAAATTATTATGGAGCTTCCTACTTCATTTATTCAGGTCAGTTATCCTCCCCCTCCCCAACATGCTTCCTGGTCACTAGATGACCTGCCGAGAACTGTAGCGTGCACTCTTCATCAAGGGTTCACTGTGATAAGCATGGATTTCCACCCTTCTCACCACACATTACTTGCTGGTAGGTTTTATTTACCGCCTAACATAAATTGTACTTTTTGTCTTTATGCAACTTCTATTCATAGCTTACTTAAGAATTATGTTTATAAATAGTTGGCTGTAGTAATGGCGAAATTGCACTATGGGAAGTTGGGATGCGAGAGAGGCTAGTGTCAAAGCCATTCAAAGTATGGAATACGACTACTTATTCTAATGCATTTCAGGTGTGTATCTCATTACTAAATCAGAACCTTATACATCCTCTCAGTATTCTCTATCCCGTCTTTAAAACCATCATATTTATGTGTGCTTAGAAGGTTCGATCTGCTTTCAAAGTATTGGTGTCGTCATGATATTTAGTTAATGGTTATTATAAGAGGCCTGCACTATGTATGATTAATTGATTATTGAGCATTGATCACTTCTGTCAGTTAACCTTTAGCCCCCTTGTAGGTTGCTATGGTCAAAGATACAACGATATCTGTAAGCCGTGTATCATGGAATCAAGATGGAAGCTTAATTGGTATGTGCAACTACAGCGCATCTCTAGCATATTTTGAATGCAAATTTGGATATAATTCTAGGTATTTTTGTTGTACAGGTGTTGCATTTACCAAACACTTGGTTCATTTGTACGCTTATCAAGGACCTACTGATCTACGGCAACATTTGGAGGTATGTTTGATTCACTTTGTGCTAATTCAAGATCAAGAATATATTATTTGCCACTTTAGTTTGGACTGATGTTTGGATTTGTTTTTCTTATAGATTGACGCTCACAGTGGTAGTGTGAATGACTTAGCCTTTTCTCTTCCAAACAAGCAATTGTGTCTTATAACGTGTGGGGAGGACAAGCTGATAAAGGTGGGGGATGAAATATTGCAGCCTTCTATTTTTGTTTTAACTTGATCAATATTAAATGGATTATTTGTTTAAAAACATTAATAGGTTTGGGATTTGGCTGGAAGAAATCTATTCAGCTTTGAAGGTCATGAAGCACCTGTTTACTCGATTTGCCCCCACCAGAAGGAGAATATTCAGGTAAGCCATGTCCATTTGCTGAAGTCTGCATATGTGTTATGGCCACTTAATGTTACTAGTTCTCAAATGACTGATTGAATGTGGGTACTCTAATTTTATTTATATGTTAAACGGCCTGTTCAGTGTCACTAGAGTTCATTTGTGACTGTTCAAAGAACAAATAGCTCGAAGTGGTATACTTTCTTATTTATATCAGATTGCTTAGTGGTATAATTTCACAAAAGTTGTCATTAGAAGATAACTAATTATTACATTTACTGTTATTATAATAACTAACAACAAATGAGAGACAATGTTGTCGCATCAAGCTGTTCTTGCGGTTGCAGTGAAGATGCATCCTACTGATGTCCTGATTCCACCTTTTTATCTTTGCAGTTCATATTTTCAACTGCTGTTGATGGGAAAATAAAAGCTTGGCTTTATGACAATGTGGGCTCCAGGGTTGACTATGATGCTCCTGGGCACTGGTGCACCACAATGCTATACAGTGATGACGGAAATAGGTACATAGGACTATCCACATGGTTTATGCTGTAAAGTACCTTTGTCGCATACTTTTCTGTTCATGTGAAGATGTATGAGTTATAACTGATCCTCCTAAATCTCAGATTATTCTCTTGTGGGACTAGTAAAGATGGTGATTCTTTCCTCGTTGAATGGAATGAAAGTGAAGGGGCAATAAAGAGGACATATAACGGATTCCGAAAAAAATCTTCTGGGATAGTGCAGTTTGATACAACAAAAAATCACTTTTTGGCTGTTGGTGAAGATAACCAGATAAAGTTTTGGGATATGGATAGTACAAATGTTCTTACTACTACAGATGCTGAGGGTGGACTTCTGGTGAAACTCCTCATTATTTATACTGTTGATTAAAAGATTCCCTTGTTTTTAGATTTCATTCATTGACTGTGAACGTTGGGATTACTTCAGACTCTTCCCCGTTTGAGATTCAATAAGGAAGGAAATTTGCTTGCTGCTACCACGGCTGACAATGGAATCAAAGTTCTTGCTAATGCTGAGGGTTTCAGATCCTTAAGAGCAATTGAAACTCGATCTTATGAAGCATCCAGAGCACCTATTGAGATGAAGGTTTTTATTTCTGATTCCATGATAACCCTTTCATTCGTTTGTACATTCCTGTTTCTTGAAAAATAGATTTGCTCTTTGTTGAGAATTTGATGTATTCATGTACATTAATCAGGTATCTGGTTCTTCTATGGTTCCGAACATCAACCCAACCATTAATAAAGTGGAACGTATGGATACAAGCTCTCCTGCCAGACCGACTCATATTCTTGTACGTCATATAAATTATGCAATTCACATTCAAATTGTTTTGTCCTGTTTTTTTTTTTTTGAGAACTTAATTTTGATTGACTGGTTGGCATCATCTTGAAAAACCAATGTACAATTGAATCTTGTTAGTACTGAAATTTGGTAGCCATTGTCACCAAACTCAGTTTAATAAATTAACTAGGTGTATTATATTTTATCCGTAGTTCTGCTCTAGAATCTCATTCTGCTGCATATTTGTTGTAGAATGGAGCTGATTCTATGGCAAGAGCTGATTCTATGGCAAGGGCTGAGTCTATGGCAAGGGCCGATTCTATGGCAAGAAGCCTGGAAAAGAGAAGAAGTTTAGATGATGTATCTGACAAAATTAAACGTTGGGAACTGGCGGAGATTGTTGATCCGGTTCAGTGTCGGGTGGCTACCATGCCAGAAAGTAAAGATCCCGCTAACAAGGTTGGATTTGTTTTGTAGTTCCCTCTTTTGTTGTTTGTAGATAATTTTATTAATATGGTCTTAATTTTTGTTAAGGTTGCTCGACTTCTTTACACAAATTCTGGTTCTGGCATTCTGGCACTCGGTTCAAATGGGGTGCAGAAGCTATGGAAGTGGAGCCGCAGTGAACAAAATCCAAGTGGGAAGGTGATGGTCAATACACACATGAATACATATTTCTCTCTTTGCTTAGCTGCATGTATTCGATTGCATGAACATATAATGTGTTAACAACTTTCATAAAACTTATCTGACTTTTTTGTGGGTTAAAAGGCCACAGCAAGTGTTGTTCCCCAACATTGGCAACCCAACAGTGGTCTTTTAATGACCAATGATGTCTCAGAAAATGTTGAAGAAGCGGTTCCATGCATTGCACTCTCAAAAAATGATTCTTATGTGATGTCAGCCTGTGGAGGAAAAGTGTCTCTGTTCAACATGATGACTTTTAAGGTAATTTGATACGGATATAGTGCAGATCTATCCTACGACAGTTTCTATCAACTGCTATAGTTTGCATGATTCTGCATGTATTGAATTGACAAGCATGTTTGGGTTGAAAAATTCTTGGTTTGCAGGTGATGACAACTTTCATGCCACCTCCACCAGTCTCAACCTACCTGTCATTTCATCCTCTGGATAATAACATCATAGCAATAGGAATGGAAGATTCAACTATCCACATTTACAATGTTCGACTTGATGAGGTGATTGATTTAAGAATCTCTATATATGTTGACAAGTGATTGTATTGCTCTTGTTGGTTGCCAATGTAAATCGTGCTGCTCTTCTGTTAGGTCAAAGCAAAGCTGAAAGGCCACCAGAAGCACATTACTGGCTTAGCATTTTCTGTCAGCCTTAAACTCATGGTTTCATCAGGTGCTGACGCTCAAGTATGTGACAGCTCTTCTTATACTTTTGCTGTGCAACTTGATGTTTACAAGTTATTGGATTTATAAAGAAAATGATTTTGCAGCTATGCTTTTGGAACATGGATACATGGGATAAGAGGAAATCGGTTCCACTTCAGTTGCCCGCTGGAAAGGCTCCTGTTGGTGACACGCATGTGCAATTCTATTCTGATCAAGTCCGATTGTTGGTATACCATGAGACTCAACTAGCACTATATGATGCGGCCAAGTCGGAGTGCATTCGGCAGGTAATTAAACTTCTTGGATGAGTTACTTTTGTTTATGTGTACAACAAATCCCCTCATTTGTTTTTCTTTAAATTGCAGTGGATGCCACAAGATGTACTGCCTGCGCCAATATCTTGTGCAGCATATTCCTCCAGTAGTCAACTAGTTTATGCGGCTTTTACTGATGGTAATATTGGAGTATTTGATGCTGATAGTCTGAAACTAAGATGCCGTATTGCCATGTCGGTGTACTTACCACAAGCATCATCAAACAGGTATTACGGCATTTAACCATGACTGGTTTATGAGGTGGTCTATCAACGAATTATATCTGATTAATTTACCTAGATTCCCCCCGTGTTAGTATGAAAAAAGGAATTAGTTGAAGTAAAAGGAATTCAAAGTTGTGTGTCACCTATTGATTAAGTTGAAAAACGAAAAAGAAGAAAGATTTGTCTCCTGTTACTGCTAGAAGCGTCCATTGTATGGTTATTGATTATCTAAACTATTTTGCCCTTCAACAGCCCAACCGTGTACCCGCTGGCTCTAACAGCACATCTGCAGGAGCCGTACCAATTCGCTGTTGGACTGACAGATGGATCTGTTAAAGTTATAGAACCCTCGGAATCTGAGGGGAAGTGGGGAGTTTTGGTGCCTGTTGATAACGGAACACAGAACGGGTGGACAGCAACATCTTCGAGTAACAATCCAGCATCTTAGCAGCTCCATCTAGCAATTTCTATGTCCATTTCCTAGAGTTGGTTTGTGTTGTATTCACGTACTGCTACATCAGACTAGTAAGGGGTATAGCAAAATTTCATGTATATTTATATGTTTATCAGATAAATGTGTTTAATTATTTCATCAAATAATAGTTCCTTATCCCTCTGCTGCAATTTTCTGTTTGCATTGTTTTTGCCCACTTATCAATGCCCGATACATAAAAACTGGAAACTCGTATATTTTGTATTCATATCAAACTCGCTCAAGAAAACAGGATTCAGATTGAAAAATGCAGATGAGTTTTTGAGCACGATCTGTCGACTTCCGCTGTTTCTTTTTTATACAAGCGGAGTGAGGAGTTCGAGCACGGTACTTCATGTGCATGAGCTATGAACACTTTACACTAAGCCCTATATTGAACTCGCCACTAATATATATGTGGTCATAGTACGCATGAGTTGAATCTGAGACCTTCAACTGACTCGAATACGAGAGTGTGGAAGTAATCTACACACTACAACGACATAAACTTACCCTGGTGGTTGGAACATGGTTTAACTGTTTTATTTGTACTATTAGGTCACTGTGTGCCGTATAAAATTTATCCATAAAAGGCAAAACTTGCTAGATCTAGTGTCCTGTCAATTTCATAGGAAGAAACAGCAACCAGTTTACTAATAGTTGAAGAAAAAACAAAAGACAGGCAACGTTGTGGGGATTGGGACTTGAACAGGTCGGCGCACCTCACCAAAGGGTGCACTGTTTGGAGGGTCGTGATCCTATTGTGGCCAGCGATGTGTTCCCATCATGCCATGTGGGTATTGACCAAATATAATGAACATTTGACACGGACAAAAATCCAGGCTGCAGGGCTAGCTAGGGTTTATATTTGGAACTGTAGAGGGATGCGGTGCATGTTGGGATGTTTGTCATTTGTCATGCATGGGAATTTATCCGAGTTCCCATTCGATTTGACTACTGTGTATTGCTTAGTCGTTGGAGTTATATCATATGTGTACAAAACTTACACGCCAAGTATTATATGATGTGAGATGGCGTATAGCTTGATCATCACAATTAGCTTAGAGTTGGCATTTTGCGATTTTAGATTTGAGTTGTATTAACATCAGTGGCTCACAAACACATGAATAATTGTTAGTTGTTGATATTTTGTAGAACTTATTGCATGGATAACTAACCGTAACACTACCTTTTATAATTTAAAAGAGTGCTAAAGAGAAAATACCTTAATTATATACAAAGGTGATGTAAAACAAATAGCAAAATGGATTGAAGAGGAAATGGAGTGTCCGAACGCAACGGGAATTTGCAAATTTGGCTTCCGAGTTCTGATTTGGGCCCGTGATACTTTTAAGAAAGGAACGACGCCACGAATATGATGTATTTTGGTCATCCAGGTCATTTCAGCCTACAAAATACAATTTTAAGTTTTTCATAAAATTCGAACTTTTCGTTTGTCAGCTGAATTTATGTCTGTAGTCCTTTGAGTTGTCCCAACAGATGTATTACGTTTATTTAATCTATTTGGCTGTTTATTCGTAAGCATCAAGTTTTCAATTAAACAAAACAACTTTTGGATTTTCAACCCAAATCTGGCGGATTACAGAAATCGTGTTCTTCAAGAGTTTACGTTCGTATCCCTCTTGCTTCATGCTGCATTAAAATGCCCCTATACTAAAATTACAAAAATAAATCCTTGTATTATATGGATAAATTAGTTTTATATCAGTCAACTTATTTAAGTACAACACAATCACATGCATACGTTGCATGCCAAGAGGGTGGTATGACATAAATGCTAATATATATCCTGAAAATTTATAGTCATAACAATAAAACACTTACCTCGACAGTAATGATCATATTGAGTTAACTTTCTTCTTCTCTTAACATCGACAACCTTTTTATGTTGCCAATTGTGAATTACATTTCAAAGTCTTCCTTTTTCTTTGTTCAATTTATACATTTCAATTCTTAACCTAAAAATCCTGCGGCTGCATGTGCTTTCATGCATATACTTAAATATATACGTGGGCGCATATATAGAATATATATATATATATATATATATATATATATATATATATGTTAGGATTCTAGGGCACACGTTTTTGATACATTTTGTAGGGCCCATTTTATATTGTTTTTTAATGATCCGAGCTGTTTATATTTGAGTTCATTATTCATAAATTATCTTTGCAAAAAATTAAATGAATCCAAAAACATTAATATATTCATTTGTAGTGAAGAAAATAAACATATACGGTTTTACAAACAAAAACCTAAATTTAGATACGATCTGAATTTACCTTGAAAAATATGATCTGAATTTATATATATATATGTGCATGAGGATATTCATACTGGCCCCACATCGAGATTTGCTAAGCTCAACTTTAGGGCGAAGAAGAATATATATATGTATGCCTTTTGACGATCTAGTAAAGCAAAGCAGCTAGAGGATTATATATATGCATGTTCTTCTTCTTCTTCTTTCAAGTTGGAAATCTTTGGCGTGCTTTTTAGATTATTATTTTATTTATCAGTTCAGAGATGGAAGATTTGAGCAAAAAAATAGATGACAAAACTCGAAGGTCAAAAAGTTGGACGATCAAAAGAGGCAAATGCAAAAAAGTGGTCTCTGGGTTATAGAGAAACCCTAAAGAAGGAACAATATTAGTACCTTGAAGTAATTTGATCTTTATTACAATATGTCTTACAAATGCTACTGGTTTGCAGAAGAAAGAGCATCCTCATAGCACAAGAGAAAAAGAATGATCACCATAACCAAACTTTTACATTAATTAGATGCTTCCCAATGAAGCTTCTCTGACAATTTTGTACCTTAATTAGAAACATTTGGGTCATTTAACCACCATTTTTTTTTTAATAAAGGGTAGTGCTATTCATACACTCATTTTAACTTCTCACACATTCATTTCAATTTTCAGTCGTCAGATTGAATTGATTGATGAAGATTAATGACAAAAAATTAACAAAAGTGTGTGGGAAGTAAAATGAGTGTTTGAATACAACACTCTCCTTTATGAAATGTAGAGAAGGAATGAAGCTTTAGCTGCATGATTTAAGTGAGTTGCAAGAAGTTTAACACACGCACACACACAAAAATAAAAAGGATGAAAAGTTCCTACCTAGAATTTGTTTGAGCTCAGAGACGGTTTAGTGACCTATTATTAGCCACACTCATACTATGCCAATTGAACCATCTACACAATCAACTGATGTTGATTTTATCATAAAATGTCTCGGTACACTTAGTAATTGAACCATGCAATATAAAAGTGATTTAGCTTGACGAGGTTTCTGACGTGGGACATATGGTTCGACAAAAACTATTGAGTTTTCCGGCTAAACATCTCAAACCTAATCGTAGTAAGGCCGAAGTTAATTAACGATCTAGTCAACCACACTTCTTCACCCCATCTAACTATTCGAATCATAATTATGTTACTAAACACGACATTGTTTGTTGGATCATGTTATGTTTTGTTAGACATGAATAACATGTTGAATTAGGTGATGTATTTGGGTTGTGAAGCTTATATAATAACAAATAAACAAGCTTGAAATTTTGAAATGATTAAAGTAACGCATAAGTAGGTGGTAAACACAATTAGGAGATCATGTACTTGTGTCGTGATATAAAAGCGTTACACAAATAAGCTAGATTTAAAATAGTTATTTTTACAAGAATTATGGTTCATTAATATTCATTTATAAGTAAAAATTATTAGAAGTATAATATTTATTTATAAGTAAAAGATATTAGCGTTTAAGTTAACGACTATGAACAAACATAAAGTATGAACACACACAATTTCATAGGCATGATTTGAAAATTGGATAATGGTGTATCTACATACCCATTTTTATTTTCTACAAATCCTTACCAATTTGGCCATTGAGCCCTTAATCTTTTACCATTATTCTATTTGATGATCAAAAATTGCGAGGAGCGTGTGAGTAAAAATAGTGTGTGGATGACACTACCCTTAAAAATTATGCCCATATCTATGTGACCTGGAAATTGAAGATTCTTAACATAGTATAATTGGGTGCTGTTATATACACCTATCTTTTTACCTTCTACAATTTTTTTTTCAATTTTTGCTCGTTTGATCAAATGAATTGGTGAAGTTCCAATGACACAACTAATATGAGGTGTGTATGAAGTAAAAAAAAGTTGTATATATATCACCATCCATATAATTTTATACTTACATAATATAATTGGGTTGAAGATTCCTTACATAATATAATTCAGTGTTGCTATCTACACCTCCTTTTTTTTTTTTTCTTCTTCTTTCTTTTTTTTGGAAAAACGATATTATCTATACTAAGAAGGAGGAGGTAAGCTTAGCCTCACAATGGGCTAGCAATAATTTGATTCAAATTCGTCTTTGACAAGAATCGAACCTAACACCTCTCACTTACAAGTGAAGAGGAATACCACTAGACCATAGTACTAAGTGGCTCTACACCTCTCTTTTTGCTGGTCTGATCAAATGAATTGAAGAAGATAAAATGACACAATTAATATGAGGTGTGTACAAAGTAAAAAAATTTGTGCATATAACCCCATCCATATAATTTTATACTTACATAATATAATTGGGTTGAAGATTCCTTACATAATATAATTCGGTGTTGTTATCTACATCTCTCTTTTTTTATTTTTTTTGAACAAATGGTATTATTTATATTAAAGGGGAAGATGTGAGCTTAACCTCACAATAAACTAGCACTAATGTGGTTCAAATTTGTGTTTGGCAAAAATTGAATCTCAGATCTATCACTTATAAGTGAAGAGGAATACCACTAGACCATAGTACTAAGTGGCTCTACACCTCTCTTTTTACCTTCTACATATCTTTTTCAATTTTCATTTGTCTAATTAAATGAATTGAAGATTATCAAATAAGTGAAGAGGAATACCACTAGACCATAGTACTAAGTGGCTCTACACCTCTTTTTTTACCTTCTACATATCTTTTTCAATTTTTATTCGTTTAATTAAATGAATTGAAGAATATCAAATAAAACAGTTAACATGGGGCGTGTAAAAGTAAAAAAAAATTGTATATATATACCATCCATATAATTTTATACTTTAAGAAAAAATTAATGCTCATCTCAAATTGAAGATATTTCAGAAAAACAAAAACAAAATAAAAAGTACACGTTACCAAAAAAAAACAAAAATCAAATTAATAAAATGACGTGTCACACATGAGTTGGGTCCTTATGTTTGTTATGTTCTGTCCAGTGATTGACGCCAGGCTAGCATCTTTGCCATGATTGACTTGCGGGTCCCACTCCCCCTCCGCTTCCCTCTCTCCGCTCTGTCAACCCACATGCGGTCTCAATGCCCCATGCACTCCTTCGCTTATTTTATTGAATCTCACCAGCCGTCTCACCGTTCATCCCGCACCACCCTCCCAATCTCGCTTACGTGGCACCCATTCGCCGCAACATTCCCTTCATTACCGTCGATCTTCTTTTCGACTTTTAGCCAATGATTTGTCAACAAATGTAAGCAAACAAGGACACTATTACACAACCCCTGCTTATAGTTTTCTTCCCACTAGTACTTCAGTTTCTTAGTATTAGTATTATTCTTTGATAAATGACTCTTTTAGAAGTGGGAGATTTCATCTATTTTCTGTTATCTTTTATTTTTGACATAATATTTTATAATATTAGTATTAAATTGTGAGTTAATAAAAAGATCATAGAAAATTCTACTTTGAGAAAATCTTCGTGGCAATTCTTGTTAGGTTTTTTTTTTTTTTTTTAATCTTAAAGCTATTGCCAAGGAGATTCTTTTAGCATAGATTTCTCTATGAACTCTCTGTCACCTCATAATTTAATGTTAATTCTCATCCAACATTATAAAACCTTGTGCAAAAAATATAAAGTAGTAGAAAGTACATAGAGAATTATACTTTTGAGAAAGTCTTATTATTATTTGCTAGGACAATCATTGCAGGAAGGAAATTTATAGTTTTTTCTTTTCTTGTTTTTGTTTGTTTTGTGAAAATAACAGTGTCACAAACGGAGGGCCGTTTCAAACAATTTTGTCGGCGATAGACGTCAATAATGATAATTGATTAAGGAGGGTAATTATCAATTAGTGGCAATAAATGAGATTATTTTAGGAGGAGTGCAACTTTGTCATATTCTTGTCAAAAAATAAAAAAGAAAGTAGATGTGAAGTAGGTTAATTTGGTTTAATTTTTTAATAAATTTTAAAATTTAAGGTCATAATCGTAAATCGATTAAACTAATTTAATCTAATGAGAAACAATGAGTAGTGCACATCACGGCCAGAGCCAGTGGAAGGGATTGAGCAAAGTTGCACTCTGCCAGGATGGAGCTGGCATTTCAACAGCGGCAACAGGATCTCTAATTCCCCTTCTTCTATATTATTACCAAATATTAATTTTCCATTTTCCAATTTTAATTTTAATTTTTGTTTTGGTTACCATATATATAAGTATTTATGCTTTGTGTCATTTACACAATTAATGCCTCCATTATTCCACCACACATATACTTACAACGTTAAGGCAGCCCTCGCTCTCTGCTGGCTGCTTCTTCTTCCTTTTTTTTTTCTCTGCAAGTCTGCTACTTTTTGGCCACTCCTGCTGCACAGAGACAGAGCTTTTACTCATGAAGATGCTAGTAAGTACGTTTCTTTTTTCTGGGTTTTTAACTTTTTACCCTTCTCTGCCTATTTCGAATCCAAAGTCTTGATTTTTCTGATTCAGTTAGCATTTCTTCATTTCATTGGGTGGGTTTTCTCTATTTTCTCTGGGTCTTTGTTCTGTCTGATTAAAAATAGTTGATCTTTGTGATATTTGGATTTGGTTTTCAGTTGGGTTTTGTTTTTTTTTTTTTTATCTGCTTTTGTGTTTAATTTTTAGTTCACTCTATAGCTTGCATTGATCAAATCGTAATATGTCAAATATTCTTGAAAAATCTTCTGATTGTGGCTGAATTGTTCAAGTTTTTTCTATTTGTACTTGTATTTAATTTAATTTGTTAGTATGTTCAATGAATTTGTATTTCTTTAAAATTTTTCTGAGAAATCAGTGGCTTTTTCTAAATTTCCACTGTTTTCAGGCGGTGTTTCTCTTGCTGCTGGCCGTGAGTAATGCCGTCAAACTTAACGGAGAAGACGATGAGACACCGTGCGATTCTAAACTGACATTAAAGCAAAGGCCACACAGTGTATCCATCTCGGAATTTGGCGCTGTCGGAGATGGCAAAACATTGAACACTCATGCCTTCCAGAATGCCATCTTCTACCTCAAGTCTTTCGCCGATAAGGGCGGTGCTCAGCTCTATGTGCCACCGGGGAGGTGGCTTACCGGAAGCTTCAACCTCACCAGCCACCTCACGCTGTTTTTGGAAAAGGGTGCTGTCATTCTTGGATCTCAGGTAATTCTTTACACTGCAATGAGATGCCGGTGAACACTTTTGATGCTGCGAGTTCAGTTGGAGATGTTTTCGTTTTTCGCTTTGTTGAAATGTTTGTGCGATTGCTTGTTTAGGATCCGTCTCATTGGGAGATTGTTGAGCCTCTACCCTCGTATGGTCGAGGGATTGAACTCCCCGGGAGGAGATATGGTAGTTTGATAAATGGATATATGTTACAAGATGTGATCATAACTGGTGTGAAGAATCTCTCCGAATTTCGTTTGCTGCTTTAACATGTTCTTTATCTGCGCGGTCTGATTCTCATTCGCTCTTGAATGCATAGGTGATAATGGAACCATCGATGGCCAGGGATCGGTTTGGTGGGATTGGTTTAGCTCCCAATCTCTGAACTACAGCCGCCCGCATCTTGTGGAATTCGTTATGTCTAAATACGTGGTGGTTTCGAACCTCACATTCGTGAATGCTCCCGCTTACAACATCCATCCTGTCTATTGCAGGTGTGTTAGCTAAGGCCGCTGATGAGCGAGTGCTTGTTCTTTCATTTGCATTCATTTCTAGGTTAAAGAAGATATTTTTATTTATTTATAATCGAATACAATGCAGTAATGTGCATGTTCACAACATCTCTGTGTCTGCTCCTCCAGACTCCCCTCTTACTGTCGGCATAGTCCCAGGTTTGTGACATCTCTTGACTTCCTGCTATGAATTTACGTTTAAGTATTGTTCTTATCCCGAATGAATGGAAGTAGAAATGTTGGCTAAAATTTGAGCTTCCTGCCCACTTTTACAAAGTTATTTTCTATGTGCATCCTGATTTTTCCCTTCTTGTTTGAAATAATTCAATGAGAGAAACTTTTCGCCTTTTTGGCGAAATTTGTACTAATTTTCTCTGTGCTTTCAGATTCTTGTGATATTGTGTGCATAGAAGATTGCAGCATTGGCATGGGGTATGATGCCATTGCCCTCAAGAGTGGTTGGGACGAGTACGGGATTGCCTATGGAAGACCGACCACAAATGTACACATCCGGCGTGTCACCTTACAATCAGCTACTGGTTCTTCTCTTGCCTTTGGTAGTGAGATGTCCGGTGGCATTTCTAACGTACTTGTTGAGAAGGTCCGCCTCAACAACTCATTTAGCGGCATTCAGTTTCGAACAACAAAGGGTAGAGGCGGTTACATCAAAGACGTCATCATATCAGATGTCGAAATGGAAAACGTCTACATGGCATTTGGTGCCTCTGGCCAGTTTGGTTCCCACCCTGACGACAAATATGATCCTAATGCTCTCCCAGTTTTGGATCATATCACATTGCAAGATGTGGTTGGCACAAACATCACAATTGCCGGATGCTTCACTGGGATCAAAGAATCGCCATTCACTTCTTTCTTTCTATCCAACATCTCATTGTCATTGAATTCTGGATCTCCCACCACTTGGGATTGTTCATATGTTTCCGGCTCTTCTGAGTCTGTCTTCCCAGAACCATGTTCCGACCTCAATACCTCGTATTCAAATCCTTCATCCGCCCGCTTTTCGCTACTCACCTTGAATGGAAAAGCCGCGGTCTTATAATACCAGTTCCTCCAAAACCCAGTTATACAAAACGGCCAAAATCTAGAGTGAGGGAAAGAACTAAAGATTTTCCACCATAAAAATTAGACCACATTCTTTTCAATAAGACACATATGTTCAGATTATTTGTTTCTTCTTCTTCTTCATCCTGTAGATTTGCAGTCCCGCATGCTCTTCTTCCATATCCCGCACATTATTTGTACAGCTTCATTTCTTCATTCATGTGTAAGCAAATTTTTGGTAGCGATGATGTAAGACAACTTGGGTTATTGTTCGTATTTTCTGTTCAAATTTTATTCCGTTTTACCTGAAAATTCCGGTGTGTGTAGTGTCCTTGTGCCAAAGTTCTACTATCCTCCGGTACATCGGGATTTAATGGCTTTAATAGTAAAAAATCTACAGGAAATCTGCAGATTTTACAAAGGGTATCTGTCGCTAAAGTTATTGTGAAATTGTTAAACATGTCCGGTGAGAAGTGGACGAACGGGATTAAATTATACAAAGGGTATCTGTCGCTAAAGTTAAGACATAAAGGAATGCCTATGGGCGTGTGTCCTTGTTGGTGAATTAATTTCATATGGATGTTCATGGTTTAGGGTCTCGATCATGCAATTCGATTGTCGGAGTGAGGGAAACGATGTCCAAGGGTTGACCGGTTATACTTCCCCAAGGGAAAGGGATCTCTTTCCATCAAATCCACTTAATTCAGGATCCAAACTGTTGAAATTTGATTTAATAGCTACAAATATGGGATCATTTAAGAATTATAATAACTGTAGTCGTTGGATCAAATTACAATGGTCCAGATCCTAAACTAGGTGGATTTGATGGAAAGGAATTCAGCCAAGAACAAATAACGTTGCGTGGAATATATATGGGGTTTTTTTGAAATGAGTCCAAAGTAACTAAAAATTGGACCTATTTCAAAAGTCAAAAGTCACTAAAAATTGGACCTATTTCAAATTTTCCCAATATATATAATTATCTCTTGTGATATCTTTTTTCAACATTTAAAAGGTTTAAATTTGTCACTTAGTACTATGGTCTAGTGATATTCCTCGTCACTTGTAAGTGAGAGATCTTAGATTCAATTCTTGTCAAAGGAGAATTTAAACCATATTATTGTTAGCTCATTGTGAGGTTAAGCTCACCTCCACCCCCTTAGTGTATATAATATCGCTTGTTCGAAAAAAAAAAGGTTTAACTTTTTATTTTTAATATTTAAAAAAATTAGTTTGAAGCTTCATAATTTCATAAGCGTTAAGTCTAGTTGTGCTTGTTTTCTAATAAAATCTCTTATTTATGTTTCATGATCTAAAATTTTCATAACTCCTAGATTTTAATCACTAAATCTGGACGTTTAAACTTTATCATCACAAGCTTTCCATGTTACATGAGTTCATAACATATAAAGACGTCATAAAAAATTTGTCCATACTCGTTTTCACTCTTGGAAAAGATAAACAAGTTTTAAGTTATGATTGTTTGCCTTAAGTCACAAGTAACAACCATAATACCTACCTACCAACAAAATTAATTTACAAAGAACGTAACATGTTTTAGCAATATGATTTGGTCCGAAGCCATAATAATTACAAGTTCATAACACAAAAGATCTTCGTCTTCTTTTTAGGGAGTGTGAATTAGGGTATGCTAATTGAATACATACTAGTATGCATTCGTGATAGTAAATTACATGTATATTGTGTTATTTTAGCCGTTTGAAAAGCATAACTTCTTATTTTTAGACGTTGTTCAATCTTAGAGAAATTTTTACATTCAATCATTGTCTCATAATAATTGATCACATGACCAACACGTGAATGCAATTGGGAGTCGACATTGTGAACCATGCAATAATTCCACCCTTCCATAATTATTGTCTCTATATTTTAGAGAATAAAATATGCTCTTCCTAAACAAAATGGATAACGCTATTTACACACGTATTTTTACCTCTACAACCTTGTTATTTTTTTCCCATTAATCTTCTTCAACTCATTCAATCAGATGGAAAAAATAAAAAGGAGTGTGTGAGAAGTAAAAATAAATGTGTGGATATCATTATCAAAGAAAAATATTAAAAGAGTAAACATTGGATCCAAATTGACAAAAAAGAAAAATATTGGGCCTAGACAAATAAAGCCCAACATTTGAAAACAGCCCACATTAAGAATCAATAACGCCCTAAACTAAAAGCAGAGCCGTTGCCGCCATCACTTCAGCTGCCCCAACCCTCTTCTCCTCGTTCTAGGGTTTAGGGTTTTAGCTCTGCATCTGCACGCACCTCATCCTTTGTCCTCTCCTACCAAACCCTAACTTCCGGAATGGCCTCTTCAAACATCAGAGATCTCCTGACGGCGTTCAGTCCATCTCTGGACTTGTTCGCCATCAGCTCCGGCGACGGTCGAATCAAGGTAATGTAATTTTATGAAATTTGGTTGATTTATTTCTCTATTTCTTATGAAACCCTAATTTTCAATTACTGGGGTATGTGTTAGATTTGGGATACTGTGAAGGGGCAGGTCCAGACTGAGTTTACAGACATTGTAGCATCCGAAGATACAAGCATATATGCTAAACGAGAAAGAGGGCACCTCTCAGTTGATTACACTTGCATGAAATGGTTCTCTTCCGAACGAAAGGTTGCGAATTTGCTTTGTTTTTAGCTTAACAAGTAGGCTGTAGCAATTTTTATTTTTTAAATTAAATTTATTTTTATGCTATACTGTTCATTGTTGCAGAAGAAGAGGAAGCGTGGTTCCTCATTTTTAGTTTTAGGAACTGGTGGCGGTGATGTTTTGGCACTTGACGTGGCTGCGGGTCATTTGAAGTGGAGAGTTAACGATTGCCATGCTGGGTTAGCTCCCTGCTTAAACTTTCTTTCTTGTCAAAATATTATGTTAATGTTAATACTGCCTTGTGTTAATGTATGTTTTTGGCTTCTCGGGCTGCCTAATTAATCTTTCTGTTGCATGTTCTGTCGTTGCAGCGGTGTTAGCTCCATATCATTTGCAAGAAATGCATCATGTCTTTACACAGCCGGTGCTGATGGGATGATTTGTCAAATTGATTCGTTGACAGGAAACCTGTCAGGGAAGTTCAAAGCTTCCACAAAGGCAATCTCCTCTATGTCTGTGTCATCAAGTATGTTACATATGTATATGTCCATCACCCTACGTCTTTTGTTCTACTTTTGCTTACAGCATATGCATCATTCTGCTTAAATTTGTGTTTGTACTGCTCTGTGAAAATTACATCACGAATAATACTATCTGGATTCAAGTTTCCGGGTTGGCTGCAAAATTTATTCCAAGTCAATGAGCATTCTCCTGCATAAACCAAGATTTTACCAGGACAGTAGTTTTAAGGAGATGTGAAAGTTAAAGTATATGGGGTCGCTTTTGTAATTGGATCATCATCACTGAAACCTGTCTTTATTGTATTATTAGCTATGCCTTTATGTTGTCTTAATAACTAATTAAGTTGAGAAATGATAACTTATGATGATGATGAATGGCAAGTTGGTAGCTAATGCTGTCCAAGAACTGATTTGTCATAAGTCATAAAAATAAGATTGAATTTCAATGGTGAAATTAGTGATAATTCTAGTTGCAGTTCCTGTGTATAGGTAGAGAGACCCGGATGATTAGGTTTCAGTTAGATTGTTGAAGAGCTAATGCTTAAAAAAAGGGTTAAATTTTGCAATATTTGTAGGACCAGCTTTATGTGCATCCAAATTAAACTGTATTGATAGATTGTTCCATTTAGTATTTTGCTGATATTACATTGGGGATGGCCTTTTATCCGCACCAGATGAGAATATATTAGCAACTGCGGCTGCACAAATGAAGATCTTCAATTTGTCTGACCACAAAAAGATACAGAAGTTTTCTGGCCATCCTGTGAGTGTTAAGCATTTACATTCGCCTTTTTCTTTTACACTTTTTTGCCTCTTTGGGTGCTTAAACATGTGTACATGTTTACAGTCTGCTTATCTTCAAATAATCTTTGTTGTTTTACCACTGTTAGAATGTCATTTGTTAGGCAACTATTTTCCTGTAATTTGACCCTTCCTCCTCACATGTGGGCCTCTTTCCACCATTTGAGAGGCCAACATGGTAATTCAACATATTTAGAGACTGCATTTGTATGAATTTTAATTTAAGATGTTTGATGCCTGGGCAAATATTTTGGTTTACCATTGTGTACAAACGTTCCAGCTACCAGGAGGGCTAACCTTCATTCTATGTTTTAACATTTTTTTAACCGTGATTTTTTTGAGTTAATATTTTCTCAACCATTCATTAGGGTGCTGTTCGCTGTATGATCTTCACTGAAGATGGGAAGTATATCCTCTCATCTGCAGTTGGTGAAAGGTATATTGCAGTATGGAGTATAGATGGTGGAAAAAAGCAGTCAGCAAGTGTTGTTCTCAAAATGGAGCACCCTGCCGTCTTCGTAGATAGCAGGTGCATAGACAGTGGGGAAGTTGGTGATATAGGTCTATACGTATTAGCGATTTCAGAAGTTGGTATGTGTTACTTTTGGTTTGGACAGAATATTGAAGAATTACGGAGTGCGAAGCCTACAAAAATTTCACTATCTTCTGAAGACATTTTGTCTACAACATACAAGGGTGCATTACCCACAATATTTGCTGCGGTTATTCAAGGAATTGTGAAAACTGCTTCTGGGCAGGTATTTGTTGCTTATGGGTTGCCAGTGAAACCTTCATTCCAGAAAATTTTGGTGCATTCTGGAACAGACATAAAGTTGAGTAGCTCCCATGACGGGGTTCTTCTACCAATGAGTCAGTCTCTTGTCAAATCTAAGAAAGGACAAAATGTACAAAATAGAGGTAAGATTTCTCACAACAAGTTTTCCCCCCTCAACCACATTTAGTTGCATTTGTTGTTGATTTCCTGCGCTATATAGCATGAGATACTGATGCATTAGGGACCTTCTGAGAGGAATCAAACCCAAAATTTTATTTTACTTTAGATGATGCACCTTGCATTGACGTTGTTGTTTCTTTATAAATTCGTATACCTGATAACCCCTACATTTTATTCCGGTTCTTGATTTTTGACGGTCAGCTGATTATTTGTGCAATGATTCAACAGTTATTGCATTAGATCGAGCAAATGCAGAAGAGGCGTTGCATCCAATGCCAAAGATATTTGATTCACACAAGAAAAAGAAAAGACATGATAAATTGAGTTTTGACCAAGATGAAGAAATGGCTGATTTGGATGACAGCAGGGGTCATGCTGGCCTTGTGAAGAGCAAAGGTGGGCGTTATAGTGACTCAGGAACGCATTTGAAACTTTTCTGCATGTAACATAAGTAATCCCATATAACTACTTAGGCTTATTTAGTGATGGCTGCATATCTGTTTCCACCATACAATACTCTTTTTTGAGCGTCAAACTGGCTTACTATATGTTATTTGACCTCTCGTATCCTGATGCTGGTTTTACTTGTTTCATACGTTATGCTGGTATGTGCAGATGACATGGTAGAAATTGAAGCTGACACAGCAGCAATTTGCATGGAGGACAGACTGAGAGCATTAGGGATACTTAGTAAAGTAGATGACCCTACGTTCCACTCGACACTCAATTCTGCAACATTTAAGAGTATTGATCTTCAGACAAATATGCCGCATAAGAAGGTTGGTTTGTTTAGTTATTTACTTATGTATGAACTGTGGCATGATGTTGTACTTATATATTATTTGTGCACTTCCTGATTTGATTTTGTTCTGATCTATACGTATCATCTGCCAGATGAGGGAAGCTGTGCTATCATTAGAACCTAGTGACGCATGCAAATTATTGGGGGTTCTGGTGGCCATGTGGCAAACAAGGTTTGTTCTTGCTGTTTTGATCTTCTTCAGGTTTTCATTTCATGCATGCATGAACGTAGAGTTATATATGTCCTTTTGAGGGTGTAGATTTCTTTATATATGCACTTTTTAGACCAATGAATTGTTAGTATGGTTTTATACAGACAAATTGTACCTTAAATACTACCAGTTAACTTATGCATGTATCATGAATATATGTTTTTCCTCCGTGTGTGTTTTTGAGAGGATGGTAGAATTCTGAATTCCATAGTAGCTGGTGCGCTAATGTGTATCCGAATCTGGTCCATGATTTGGTTTTTATAAAGACTGTTATTGACACTTTGTGCTTATGTTTTTTTATCCATTTGGAAAGCATTACAGTATAAGTTAGATATGACTTGAGTTTTAATCTTTGATTATGATTAACAGGTCTAGCAGTGGGAATAACGTTCTTCCATGGATTTACAGCATATTGGTAAATCACAGTCATGATATCATGTCCCAAAAGTCTGAAACCCAGATGCTTAGCTCCTTGTTGAAGGTAAAATTTTGTGACCAATTAATACTAGTTTATTACCAGGTCACTATTTGCTCCCTTATTTCAGGGATTATTCTCTTTCTCACATACTGTGGGATATGTTAGCAGCTGTAAAATGATTTTGGTTCAGTTTTAGTTGCTTGTCAATAGACTACTTGAGAGGTCTTAGCTAGTTTTGCTGGATGGTTTCTTATCCACTATTTTGTAATTCATGTTATTGTTTTAATAAATTTTATCGTTTCTTCTAAAAAAAATGACATGTTGCTTGGTAAGCAATTTTTATGCCCTCTGTCCTCTTTCAGTTTGTATAAGTTGTAATCCAATTATTCTGAAAAACAATATGGAAAACTCGACTTCCAGTTTCATTATAAGATTGGTGGTTGATGAAGATCTTCCTTTGAATATTGTCCGTGAAGGAATACGGTAGCCTATGAAGATTTGTGTTTGACTTGCAGTTTACAGTGCTGCTAGGTGCCTGCTTTAGGCCTATACATATGGTATACCATTACCCATTACCCCTTGATAGGCAAAGCCAATGCTTAGATGATTCTTTGGTTAGACTACCGTCAATGTCTTATAGTGTTACCTCTAACAAAATGAATGTTCACACAAATTCCACCTAGATATCAACAGTTTTTGGATTTATTATCTGCCTTATAGTGGAACATCATCCAAAACTCTCAATACCTCCTAAAGAAACCAGATTTGATCCTAGGTAATAATATATTTGATGAAGCACTTAATTGATGTTGTTCTCCTTGCAGGTTACCAAATCCAGAGGGGCAGCTATTCAGCCCTTGTTACAATTATCAGGTCGTTTGCAACTTGTGATGGCACAGGTATATACAACCTCATATTCTAACTTGAATTCAGTAATTTAGTTGACCAAATATTTTAGTCTTTTGATCTTTAATATTTGTTTTTGCTCTGGATGAATAGATTGACAAGGCAACCCACGCAAAAACTCAAATGTCATCACACAAGCACGAAATGGATGAAAGCGAAGATGACGATGAAGATGTAAACGAAATTCACTATGGGGAAGAAAACGATGATTCTGACATAAGCAGTGATGATGATCAGTAGGATTTTGTGAGAGGAGGTAGTCAAACTTTGCCGTAGTGACATTCATTCTTTTGTCTCCTGATTTACTTGTGATGATGCTTGCATTCCTACACTATTTGTCTACTGTTTGATTGATTATCACACTAGATTGCTTAAGTTTAAATACCACCAGAATTAGGTCTACGAAGTCTCATCCTTTGGTTTCTGCTACGTTGCGGAGTAGATGTATTCTTTTGAATTGGGTGTCTAATTACGGTCCAGCTGGTCCATGCTTAGTTTTTCTCAAGGATTTGGAACATTTTAGTTGATACTGAATATATGATGACATGGAACACAGTTGTGTTATTGGATTTCATGGCTTATGGTTTATTTTGCATTTTTCTGCTCATAAGTTGCATTTCCTGTACACCTTGTTGTGGATTTAGGACAGAAAGGCTCGATGCGGTGCAATCTGTTCAACACCCCCGTCCGTTAATCAGGCAACTTTTAATGCTCGGTTTCTGGCCCTGTCCAGGTTCAACACCCACAGTTTTGTTTTCCTCCGGGGTTACCCCTCTACCCATTACTATGGTGAAGAAATAGATTTCTCCAAGATATCAATTATAATTTTCTTTCTTCTAACGGTTTCTCTGTAATAGCATAAACACAAGTGCATCAGTGTGTATATTGTGTGACTTGCAAAAAGCACAAGCGTTTTTGTATAAATTGTGTTACCGCGTACTATTTATCTTGCTGGTAATTGTATGTTTCATTCAGATTGGGCGCATCGCATTTTGTCCAAAATATCACTACTTAATTATAAGAAAGGGTCTTTGCTCGTAATGGAAACTTTTTCGTATACCTATAAATTAGAAAATCCCGAGTAAGATTTCTCCGATGAATATTAAGCCAGAGCACAAGTTTGATCTTGGAACGTGGTGTTGTAGATTCTGTGATCCAGGTTGCCGGCAGTATGTATTGCCCTGTTGGAGAGGATTTAGGATCAATTCTTTCTTCACTTACAAGCTTGGAATCTCATTCTTTCTTCCCATAACATCACATGATTAAGAAAAATATAATTCCATTAAATTATATTTTCCTGCTAACATATTCTCCATTAACGTTCTTGCCGTGATTCTTTTGGGGATAAACAGTACCCCTCCTTTTGCACCATTCTCTCTCTCTCTCTCTCTCTCTCTCTCTCTCTACATTACGGTACACGCATTCGGATTTTCGTCGCTAAACATTGATGTGATGTTTCCGTTGCCATTGACGTCTTGCTGCTCCTCGTTGTAATGGTTCGCCCTGCTGAAATGCTCGTTGTAATGGTTCGTCCTGCTGAAATGTGAGGGTTGTGGGGGTGGCTGGATATATTCAAATTCTGTGATATAAGGTGATGGTCTGTATGTGTTGTAGCTGTGTGTCACATGCATAGGCGGAGGTGGGGTTGGACACATCGGGGCGTGGCTCATCGGGGGAGGACCCATTGGGGCGTGGCTTATCGGAGGAGGGTCCATTGGGGCGTGGCTCATTGGAGGAGGTCCCATCGGGGCGGGGGTATGGGCAGGCTCCTGTGGAGGTCCTTGGCTGTTATGGTATCTATTCCAGTAGCCATTGTAGCCTTGGGAGTAGCCATATCTGTAGCCATAATCAGGTGGGTGGTGGTATATGGTATGAACTTCTCCAACGTCTCTTGGTATCTGGTGGTGTATTTGTTGGCCGGGGTTGGTCTCAGCAGACACAGGTGTTGGTCCTGTTGGCTCGGGTGTTGGATTTTCATGCGGCGGGGATTCTCTTGGTGGCTCTGCTGGCGGGGCCACTTCAGCCGGCGGAGCTGCTTCAGCCGGTGGTGGTGCTTCTGAAGGAGGGGGGTTTGCTGCCTCAGGAGCTGGAGAACCATTCTCCGGCGCTTGTTCTGGCGGTGGTGGAGCAGGTTCCGTTTGTTGTTCTGTGTGGGAACATATGGTGGCAATCTTCCTCGTCTTCTTAATCGCTTTTACTATCTTCTCCGGATCCGCCCACCCAATTATTGTCAACTTTTGTTGAGGGAAGTCAATGTAAAGATCATATATACCTGCAGAAGGAAAAAAAACAAGTCTTCACTCAAAAAAATAAAAAAAAACTACAAGCTAATAAAAGCTGGGTTCGTAGTGTAAGAAACATACCAAGAACCAAAAAACAAAAAAACATGGATTTTTAATTTCTTACCATTGATGCCATGTAGCGCTTTCTTGATCTTCTGCACGCATCCGTTACAGTCCATCCGGACATGAATCTCCGTCACCCGAGGTTTCTGCATTCGAGACACGAAAAAATTAACGTAAGCATGGACTAATACATGTAATGTGGAAGTATGTGATTGCCATTAATTTAGGGCCATACCTCCATGAGAGGCAATGATGAGGGTGGAGGGAGGGGCAATGGGTTAATAGGTGGCATTTTATTTATACACACTGCAAAAAAAAAAAAAAAACAAAAAAAAAAAAAAGGGCAAGGAATAATAGAAAGGCAAAAGATGTGGGACATGCAAGGAATCTCCTTTTCGAATTGATTAGCTTAACCTGCAAAAATCAATGTCAAATGTGTTAAAAGGATGGAAGAAAGGGGTCGGTTTTATATGGACGATGGAATGCTGTGCCAAAAAGAATTTGCTTTCTGTGCGATGTGCGATGGAATTGATGGCTGTGTGCGATTGAGGGACGTCTGTCTTTCGAGATTATTAGGATATCCACCGTCCATGGATAAAGAATTAAAGGGAGATGATCAGATGATTTTGTTTACATTTTCATTGAGACTTAGCTTTTGACGTTTGAACTGGAGTTCCACTAATATTGTGGAATCCTTTTGGCACAAGCAAAGATGGGTGTTTTCACACATGCAAATCACAAAAAATTAGGGTTGGAAAGCATGAACCTTCTTTCATTTTAGTCGTAAAGGTTGATGGAGATTGGAGTTGCAGATTCTTTCACAGGAAGATCTTAAAGTGTGTACTCCAAAACTTTAATAAACTAATTTTGAGTCTCTTTTTTATTTCCCTAATGCTGCTTACTTGAGTGTGCCAGCTTGGTTCTGGATGAGCTTAACCATCTTATATTATATTCTAGATAAAGATATTTGGACCCCATTCGTGGGAGATTAGTTATACTACGTACATAACTGTGTTTTAGTAGGATAAAATAAGTTTTATGTTCTTCTCGGAGTTAATAATGTCGAATGGCCTCTATAATTGTAAAAAGAATCAACCAGTATTACAAAACGTGAATTGATTATACATGTGGTTGTGTTTTGGTAGCATACATTAATTTTTCTAATGCTACTTAATCGAATGTCATCCTAGTCTGAATAAGCTTAACCATCTTCTATTCTGGCTAAACATTTTTGATCCCATTTTTGGGAAAGATTATTATGTGGTACATAGTATAACCAGTCAATTCATATGTTATAACATGTGAAATGGTTATTAACACTATTTGCTTCATCATAAAACCGTTATTCAACTATATTATAACTCATGAATTTGTTTTTCAGAATTGATAAGAATCTTAGGCAGTATGACACCAAAACGGTCAAGAACTACCAGTTTTGAAAGTTGCTTGACTTTGGTCACTGTGAAAAACAGGCCAGAGAACACATAGTTTTCACTCGTCTGATAATTGAACTTTATGCCCAATAAACTTTATTAAACTAAATTAATTTACACATGTAGGCAAGAAAAGTAACTAGTTTCTAGTACTAGATTTTATGTCACAAAAGTATCTTCATGAAAAACTTCAGCACCTTAGGCAAGATGAAGATTTTCACAACTTTTGTGAAATAAAACCCATACTATTTCATCTTAATTAAACTAAAAGAAGTAATCCACACCTGTAGGCAAGAAGATTATCCCTTTTATTCTAATTAAGATGCAAAGTTGACCGAAATAACTCAAAAACACAGTCTCATCATCAACTAAGCCGTTGCGGCTTGCTTTAGTTGAAAAGACATTTATCAACTCCACCCTAAAACAATACAAAAGTCAAATGGATTAATTAACTGTAAGTGACAAAATTATGATAACCTAATTCGAGCTTCGAGTCTTGCCAACAAATGGCACTAATTCCTTCATGAGTCCCTTTGATATTAAATTAATCTCAAGAAACTTGACAGCATACTTGAAGGAGATTAATCACATATAAAACAAGTTTTATTTCACCACAAGAATGTCAATACTTATCATTATGGAGTCAATTGCTTAAAATAGAAACTTTATGTAATGCAAAAGAACAATACATTCTTTTAATTTAAAAGCTAAATTGCTCAAATATTTTCTTAAGTCAAACGGGTTCCTTTTCTTTTGTACCTTTCTTTCTGTAGTACAAGGCTCCTAAAACATTAGCATCAAAATCATGCATTAGCCTTGTAAATACCAAATTAAATAAAGGAACTACCAAAATTCTTTTCTTCCAAAAGAAACATCTCCAATACATGCCATACATTAGCCTTGAATAATTTCTTTTCTTCTCCCCCTTATGGCTCAAAACAATTGACTGATCAAAACATTGTTTAAATTCTTTAGGCATAGGAAAAACTAACAAACTATATACAAGTTTCAATTTAGTCACATCCTCTAAATGAAATACTACCTTATGCCTTCATATGTTCACCACTTCTATATAAACATATTTATAATCACATGACCAACCACAATTCTCATATAAGAATAAATAGAATACAAATGAAAATTGTCACATAATTACTATAGACCTTATTCATTTGTATAATACCTTTGTTCTTGTCACCGGATGCTTTCTGTCATTCATAGTCAATCCACAAATTATACATCAATTTTTCATAGTTAACTAGTCATGTATAATTTAAGTGACTATTGAGATAGGAAAGCAAATTATAGATAAACCTGATTGATTAGTCACACATATTTTTTGTGCTATTAATGACATAAAAGTTCATTCACATCTCGTGAAAATTAGTGGAAACCAAAAACTACAATTCACTATAATCCAAAACCCACGGCAATATTAAAAATATATCATCTCATGCTTGAACCAAATTAGCCATACAAGTAACACCATACACACTACTTGCTTAACAATATTAAAAATTTGGTTCAAGCAAATTAGTCACAATTTATCATATGCCACGGTCACGGAAAAATTAGAAGAAATTGTGTCACCTTACACATCCTTGAAACAATTAGCCATATCCGTGATGCTATAGATGCAATAACAAAAAGTTCCCAAAATTTATATTGACCTGCTTTCAAATATAGACATATATAAACTTAGCATATGCATGCATGCATGGCTGCAACACAACTTTAACATATGTTATCACAATCATAGGTAGGCACAACATATCTCAATAATATTGATAAATTATAGGATATGACTAATTTTGTCTCCTACAATCAGAAAGATGTCATGATATAGTTGGATTTTGCTAGAACAATATAACACTTCATGAATCCAACATAACCATTCCTTATATAATTTATCATGAAGACCAAAAGAAAAGATTATACCAGAATTTCATATACTGATGTAATACGAAACTCTTCATTGGGCTTGTTCGACTGAGGGATCTTAAGAAATTCTCCCATGCAAGGTTATAACAAATATAAATACATACACATGCTTATAAAAACTTGAGATTACAAATTTATATATATAACCTATACTTTTGCCGAGTTATGTCATGTGAACTTGTGACGTTACGCATCGACCCGTATTGGGATGTTGTCGTTGTCCACCTTGGACACAACTAACATAGGAGGTCTATCACGTGGTAATATAATAGAGCCCGCCTTGAAACCCTTGAGGCGGTAAGCCGCAACTGCTGGCTGTGTAAAGAGGAACCCCAACCTCATGGCTTCAACTTATACATAAGCAGTACATGATCAACCAAAATATTAGCATTAAAATTGGAATAAAAACTCTGAAATATTCCATGGTTTTCAATCCTAGTTAATCCAATGAATTGACTAATCAAATTTTCTTTATCATTCCTTTATTAGAACTATTGGTGGTAATCAAGTTTGACTAATCATATTGGCTTTTAAAAATTACACGCGCTTGCTTGATCAAAATACTAGCAACTTCCAGACTTAGACTTTGGTGGTTCAACTAAAACAAATTATATGCAAAAGGGCCTGCATAAAAATGCCATCAACCTGACCATATATTATATGTAATTATAATAGGTATAATCTGGAAAACTGTTGGAATTCGAAGCAATCATCACCATATAAATTTTATACTTCAATCCATGTTTGGATCCCACTGCAAAATATTTACATATTAGCACGATATACATACATATACATACATACATACATATATAATATATATGTTTCTCCAAATTCCAATATGATTATAGGATTGAAACATGGTTTATAGATATTTCTGGTAAGAATTTCCAAATTCGTGCCATAAGATTAATTAGCAAGAAATAATCTTGATACCATGAACAACACAATCGTAAGCCCCCTCGGCCTGTGCTCTTTAACCGACCTCCATCTTTGATTTTTAATATTTAAGTAACACTTGAATTTAGGATCAAAAGGAACTGATCATAGAATATATCTGAACATATCGTATTAGTATGCCAAGGATATGGAATCACACTTGAACTTAAGACCAAAATTCAGTTTATGTATTTTGTAAAACGACTCTATGTATTGTCGAACTTAATAGGTTTTAATTATATAACCAGAGGCTCTGATACCAACTGTTAGCCTTAAAAGGTTATACAATTAAAACATAATGAAGGAGTGACTGACCTGATTCTAACGGCGGCCATGGAAGTCAAATACAAAAGTAGCAGAGCACGGCAACACCAAGATCTTCTATAAACACCTAGCCGAATACAACTACTCTAATGTTGTGTGTTCTAGGGCTTATAGGGACCAGTGTTTTATATAGGCTAAAAGTTAGGGTTTTGATCTATAAAGGAAACCTAAACTTACTTTATTAGCCTCCAAGTCAAGTATCATAATCATATTCAATTAAGGATTCCATCAATCCTATTTTCAATATAAGACACCTTATCCAGGATTGATATCTTTAAGAGATCAAATCACAATTAACATTATTCTCCAATATTACATTCCTATTACATGTAGTAGACCATTTAAAGGTTGATTTATATTGGATAAATCCAACATTAAATTGTAGCTATACACAAAGTTATTTTTGTCTATCCCATTGACCTTGGGCTTCACAAAGCTGTATTCACTTTCTTCACCAAAGCTAATCTTCTTGATGGTTCCAACACCTCCATCTCCCTCAAGAATTTCAGCAGTTTTGATTGCTTGTGGAGCAATCTTTGGAATGAGATTGTCAGGGCATTGTACAACCTAGCAGGGGGGATGACAGAGACGTATTCAATTTCGTATGTGAAAACAGCCATGGTGATGATTTCTAAGAGCTTAGAAAAATGATCCAAAAAATGAAGAATGAAATGAGGGGAAGCAAAAAGGAAGATTGATATTGGTGTGACAAAATGTGAGCACCAGAGACGGTATTTACGGATTCGGGCTAAAGGGTATGTGTGGAAACTGGAAAGTGGCCCCTGTAACAAAAGGAGTTCCGACAAATTTCCATTTTTCAATATTTGTTGTCCATGTGAAAAGGTAAACATATAATTTTCAAATTCCGTACAATACTTTATTAGTCAAAGAAATTCAGCCACCAGTAGAATATATAAAAATTCAACTAGTTATTCTGAATGCCAAGTAATATGTGGATTGCATATGTCATTTTCAAATGAATATTGAGTTGCACACCAATTCTGCCCGAAAGTCTGATAATGAAAAAAATGTGAGGTCCAAATGCTCACTATCATTCAGTCTCGGACAAAAAAGAAGAAAGAGAAAAATGCTAATATTTTCGACACATCATACAACCATGAAATGGTGAGACTTTTTTATTTTAATTTTATTTTTTCTTATACTAGATTGAAATTTTCAACAAGGCTTTTATCAAGACCTTTTATACGTACCATTTTCTTTGTTTGTATGTATTCCTCTATTATTAATAAATATCGTACTCAAAAAAGAAATGTTTGGAGTGATCACAATACAAACTGAATTACAAATAATTATAAATATAATATTACAACTTATACTATTTATCATATAATTGAAACAGGTATAGATTTATTAAATAACAAGTCCCGGTTCAACTTGGGAAGTTCCTTCTCCGATTCCATCAAATCACTTGCTAGCTTCGGCTTGCTCTCAAAGCCCACACTTCGTCCACGCAAAATCAAATTCCGAGAATTCCTCTTCCCTACATTCACAAACATACCATCAGTTTCTTGTCACAATTGATCGTGCTATGAGTTTCCATACCAGTATTTCGAGGAACGAAACATGTGAAAGGATTTGAATCCACGTTTATAGAAAGTGGATTTTTTTTTTATCTTAGGTTTGAATCCACGTTTGCGATTATCTCTCATTTCACAAGACTTCTTCAGTTTGGACTCTAGTTGCACGTTTTCTTTTCTTTGGAAGTTAATTTCTTTTTTTCTTCTTCTTATTTTATTGATTTTTATTACATGTTTTATCACAAAATACCTTTGGATCTATTAATGATCAATTTCCGGGCAGTTATATATTTTTTGTCCTATTATTTTTGGTAAAGCCGTGTGACCCATTAATTATTTTTAATAGTGTAAAATGACAATAGCACAAATTAAAAGGTGGTAGAGAGAGATAGGTGGGCGGGCCCATTTTAATTATATTTTAATTATTAATTTGTTAATTTTTTTTTTGTTAAATGGTAGATTTTGTTAGATTAGCCACATACGATGTTTGAGCTCACGCTGTCATGTAAGGGTTCAACTTCTTTCCATCACTGTGTTAAAGGGTCACTTACTTATTTTTAATTTGTTACACTTATAATAATGGTAAAGAAGGGAAGAGAAAAATTCAAATTTTCTCGGCATTAATATTTAAGTTTAGTCATGTTATATCAAGTATATGGTTATCCAAAATTAGACTTTTTGTCTTTTCTTCTCTTAGTCATTTGACCAAACTTCTTGTTCTTAACAAGTTGAAGTCAAGTTTACACACTCATACATATAAGAGACCACATTTGCTCATTTGTTAATTTGAGGGGTTTTACTTATTTATTATTATTATTATTTTTTTTTTAATCCAAGGAATTTGGTGGTCTTTTATTCTTTTGTCATAAGAACCTTTCATTCCAACAACCCAAACAGTTGACTTTTGAGTTAATTGCTCTAATTTTAATCGTATAACTTTTCTTTTCCTTTCTATGTGTAATTGAGTTTACCCAATAACAGATTGAATGTGAAATTCATGATATTGCAAGGGAAAAATATTACTCCAAGTTAAATGTGTCATCAAATGATTTACATATAACTAGTATATGTTTTATTATTCAGATTAAAAATCAAATACAACATTATTCTTTAATCATATCCGAAGTGCAAGTCAAAGAATTGTTTTAGTACGATAGTAAATTGAACCACACAACTGAGTAAACAGAAAAAGCAAGGCACAAGATTGTTGCCAAAGCGGTGGTTTTAGTTGTAGGCATCAGGATTGGCCACAAGGTGGTTCTCAATAAGCTTGAATAAACCATGGGCCCTTTCTTTGCCAGCCTTGACATGTTCTTCCTTGATCTCAACATCTCCCTTGGTGTGGTAATGGCTGATGTTCTTGATGATGGAACCACTACCAGATGCCACCAACTTAATCTCATAAGAGATCTTCTCAATTTTGTCAGAAATGGCATCTCCTTCAATCAAACTGTAGCTGTACACAAAGTTATCTTTGTCAATTCCCTCAACCTTTTGCTTCACATAGCTATATTCACTCCCTGTCAAATAGAAAAATGAAATAGAAATTAAGATACTAGCTAGTGTTGTCGAGATATATGTGTGTGTATATATATTAAATAGGTAAAATTAACAAGTTAATGGAGAAAATAGTTGAAACTAAACAAACCTTCGCCAAAGCTAACTTTCTTGATGGTTCCAACACCGCCATCTCCCTCGAGAATTTCAACAGTTTTGACTGCTTGTGGAGCAATCTTGGGGATGAGGTTGTCAGCATCAAGGACAAGAGCATTGTACAACCTAGCTGGGGGGATGACGGAGGCGTATTCAGTTTCGTATGTGAGGACACCCATGATGATGATTTTTAAGAGCTTAGAAAGTGATCAAGGAAATTAAGAATGAAATGAGGAAGCAAAGAGGATGATCAATGTTGATGTGAGAAAATGTTCTCTCCAGAGGGTGCTATTTATAGATTTGGGAGGGAGGGTACATGTGTAAAATAACCCCCTATATCTAAAGGAGTTGGGACAAAATTTGAAGTTTTCAATGGATGCTGTCCATGTGAAAGGAAAATGAAATACTAATTTTCAATTGCATGGCATAAAATTAAAAAAAAAAAAAAATCAATGCATTAATATATTAGTCAAAGAAAGCCACCAATAAAATTCTAGAACTTGATTAGAAAACAAAAAAAGAATCAACTTATTTCTACTGGTGGGCTAACTTATTAAAATAAGGCAAACTCAATGATATCTTCATTTCTATTGACTAACACCACCAATTCATTCATCAATCCGATCGAAATGTGCAAGGAGTGAGGGTTAATCATCCAAGGGAAGGAAGAAGATGCTAAGTCGTATTATCTTCGGCATAAAAGACACCCTTACAAAGTCGGTGGGCTGTTTGATGATAAGATGCTTGCAAATCATAATTTGGATAATGGCTTGGGTGGGGAGAAATACAGAACAGAAGTATCATGATCAAAGACTGAACAGAAGTATCATGATCAATACATATAGTATTTACGGTATATCATACAAGAACTTCGTCTCTGAGGACAAATTAGGTGTAACTTTTTTTTATTTTTAATGCATAACAATAAAAAAAACACATGAAGTTTATTCTCTCACTTTGTTTCCAAGAATGAAAGATATTAACTGATGGAAAATTCTATGGTACCCTAAAATAAGAAATCAAGACTTATTATAGCTTTCATTTTGCATTTTATTTTGGAAAATATTATTAGCACTCCAAAAATCTCATTCTACACTCCTCATAAGTGTATTTTTCTTTCCTAAAATAGAAAGTTTGGAGTATAGAATGAGATTTTTAGAGTGTTAGGTTTCAATAAATTGTAAAAACTTATTGAATACTTAAATGAACACACATTATATGTTTGGTCCCCATGTTTTCATTATGTCCAATACTTCATAATATATATGTCATTTTATTTTATAGTTTATGATGAAATTATATATATTTTAAATATAAACAGACACTTATTTATACGAAATATAATAGATTTACTTAAATTTGCCTAGTCCGACCCGACTAGCGTTTAACGTCTTTTAGAACCTTGCTTCATTGACGTTAGCTCAACTTAATAGTGGCGGTTTTTCTTCTTTTATATGCGAGACCGCATCCCTCTCATCCGTCTCTTCATCATCATCCTTCCTCCTCTTTGAGTTCTTCCAAGTCCCTTCACTTGCCGAGGACGAGTAATCTGAATCTTCGGATGGTTTCTGCTGCCGATCCCCGCTTCTTCCACACTTCCAGATTGCTCCACATCCTTCCACTCATTCTTTTTCTTCCGCAGTACATGCTGCCATATGTTCTTCAGCGCCTCAATGCGAACCGGTTTGATTAGGTAATCACAAGCACCATGAGTCACACCCTTCATAACAACACTTTTTCCATCATCGGCAGACATCACTGTGGAATTACACATATCAGGTGTCAGCTCCAAATTAACACATACGATTCCGGTTAACAACAGTTAGATCTACACAAAATTACTCAAACGAGGAACTCACTGATAACAGGCAGGTCCATCTCCAGTCCAACGTGCTCTAGGAGTTTGAATCCATCCATGTCTGGCATGTGTACATCACTGATAACAATATCGAATCCGTTCTGGTTCTCTCGAAGCAGCGAAAGTGCGATCTCCGCACGATTACATTTTGTCACTAAAAAATCCCATACAAACCAACTCAATCAATCCACAAATTTAGCACATAAACAAACTATAGAACAAAATTAATAAAACAGGGCTGTGAATCTACAAAGACACAAACCAAAACTCAAATCTTCTGGAACAAGACGATTAACCTTTTTAAAAACAAAAAATTAACACCGTACAATTTCAAACCATGTAGAGCAAGTAACAAAATTTAACACAACCCATGATTCAAATCTAGACAAAATCACAACTTAAGCAGTAAAAGATATCAAATTATCCAATTCTTAACTTCTACCACAAGCTCCAAATCCCTTAAACAACAGCATGAAAAACACAAGTAATTATAACCCAAGTGGTAAAACTTGCAGTAAATCACCCACAAGAAAGATAAATCCATGTTGGGAGACAGGTAATTGACATCTACAGAAGGATTGAAGAAAACTCAGAAAAGAGTACCTTCATAGAGGCAAGTTCTGAGCATCCTCTCCAAGATCATAAGGCAAGTAGGATCATCGTCGACCACAAGGACTCTTAGTCCCGCAGGAAACTGGTCAGTGACCACATCCCCCGATTTCCAAGCTCCACTCGAACTAGCTGTTGACATCGATCCCATGCCGTTGCTCAGATGCATAGCTTCAAAAAACCTATATCTCGGAAACCGAATAAACTGCAAGATATCTCTCTATCTATATATACTTATATATAAAAATCCCCTACCAGATAACCCGAATTACATGCTTAAGCTCCGGTTTTGATTCATACCCAATTCAAAACTCAAAGAACCCAGTTGAGCAAAAGCAACAGAATCGAAAAAGATAATTGATTTTCTGCTGAGATTTTTTTTTTTATTATGTGTGTGTGTGTGTGTGTGCATATATTCTTCGGATTGAGGTTGAAAGAGCTTGGACTTGTACGTCCGCTTCCAAGCTCTAATTGTCCGTGTTTTGGGTTTATTTTATGAATTTAATTATTTATTTGTTACCTTTTTTTAATAATTGAATATTTTATTCAGAGGTGGGTCACTCCTGGAAGAGTGGATCCAGCTCATATACAAATAAAAATAAATAAAAAATTAACTTGATGAACTAACAAGTTCCTTCCTTAATTTACTGCTCGTAATTTTGTATAATCTTTTCCTTTTTAACTCTGCTATTTACTTGTATACAATTGGAGACTGACTCCCAAGTTCTTGTTGATATGATTCATGGTCGCATACAATCGGAGGCGGTTTTGGATGGTAACTTGTGGGATATAAGTTCTTTAAAGCAACAATTTGAATCTATTGAGTTTCTATATGCTCCTCGTGTCTGTAATCAGGCTGCATATTTGATGGTATCTTATGTCGTGCACATGGAGAGGTAGTCATTATTGAGATGGTTTTGAACCAGAGTGGTTGCTTAACACTTTTGCATTTGATGTAAACATATCGACTTGTATTTAATATTACTACAACTTTCGGGAAAAATAAAAAAATACTCTGCTATTTACCTTCCCGTTTTATCTGTTTCCTGCGGTTTTTGACCTTTCAAATTATCTAATGTTTGAATCAAAGTGAAATCATTTAATCTAAAATTTAAAAAAAAAAATTGTTCAAATTTTTATTAATTTTGAACATGAAGATGCAAAAAGGCAGAAAATAAATTTTGAATATGAAGTCAGATCATTTTATCATAACCGTTCAGACTAGAAAGGAAAGACATTTTAAAGGAAGAGAATCATACTTCTTTACTAATTTAATCATGCAACCAATGATACCTAGTTAAAGAAAAATATTAAAGTTAGAAAAATAATAAAGTCGTCCAAATTTTGATTTACCTTTGATTTTATTTTGTGTTTCACTTACTTGTAGGAGATTCAATTTGGGTCACTAGCACTCTATCATTAGAAAAGGAAACAAAAGTTAAAATACAAACAAACTTTTTTTTTTTCGAAAATGTTGACTATACGGGAAAGTTTTATGATTATGAAAATAACTACAACTTCAAGAATGTAAGACACATGTTCAACTAGATAAATTCTTGTAAAGGACATCATGAATAAGCATTGGGACACCTAAGACAACCTTAAGTACATATATAAGTGCAAAAACAAAAAACCGTTTTCATGACGACGGTAGAGGATAATTTTTGCTATTTTGATCGATTAATGTTTTACACCAACATTATATTCGTTTGTTCAAAACTTGGAAACCATGTTGCCAAAGTAAACAACTACTTCCATACATTGTGGGGGTGATTTAGGTTTTCCACTTTCAATTCATCAATAGTTGTCATACAATCAACTTGCAAATTTTATAATACCAATTAAAAATAATAATTTTAATTCATGATAAAATTTAGATTAGCAGGCCAAGTAGGTCAATTCTCACACTAATTCTACGCAATGTGAAATCAGATTATTGTAAATTACACGAAATTCTATACATTTTGAAACTATACTCAATAAATGACATGATTGGACAATTCTGTCCAGAATTTTTTCAATATTAAGGAAAAAAAAAGAAAAGAAAAAAAAAAACAAACAAACGAAAATTAGGTCCAAATCCATTAGTGCAGTGCAAAGGCAAACATGATTCCCCGTTCAATGAGTTTTTGTTTCTTTTCTCAAAAAGCTGCTTCGTTGAGTTATTAATTTTTTTACCTCCGTTGAGTTAACAAGGGTAATTCTCTGCCGTGCTGCGCTGTTGCTGTTGCTGTCTGTGTCCAGCTTTTACTTTGCCACCAGTTACCACATTCTCAACCCGCTCCCTGTCTCCTTGGCGGGGGCCATTTATCAGGATAGGGCTTCCTGGCCTATTTTGTTTGCTCACATTTCCCAGTCATGACTGATCCTCCCTGCACTTGCAGATGCCTTGCTTTTCAGTTTTGGTGTCACTACAAAAAAAAAAAGGGCCTTTTGGGACGGTCAAAACTCGTCGCGAAAGAATCTAAAAGCGTCGCAATGGATTTGCGACGGCCAATAACGCATCACAACAAAATAGTGTCGTAAATATTTGGTCTATTATATGAAACGGTTTGAGCACGTCGCAAGTACTATTTACTACGGGCTTGCAACGGCTACCTACGCGTCGCAAATAAGTGGCCTCGGGTTTAAAAAAAAATCGGGCGTCAAATGGGACGCCACAATGACATTATTTTAACAACTTCGCTAAAATTATTTTATGTGAAATTTACTACAGGTTCCAAATTAAAATAAATTATGGAAGGAGGATGTATTCAATTGGGAATTTGAGAGATTTTAAAGGCTTATTTGATACTTTACTTGAATCCAACTTTTTAAACTACATAACAATTTTCAAGTTTTAGACCTTAAAAACTTGTTTGGTAGGACTATTTTAAAAAACTGAACTTAAGATTAACTCAAAAATATAGCATATTCTCTAAAAACATAAAAAGTGAGTTTGTAGAATTTTTAAATTTAAACTCACTCTTTTCCTTTCTCTCCATCCTCCCTTCTCACTCCAAATCTATCGCTCACTCCTTTCTTCTTTCTCTTTCCTTTTTTTTTTTTTTTACCTTTTTCGTCTCTCCTTCAATCCTCTTCATTCTTTCGGTTCTTTCTCTCACTCATCTTCCTCTTTATCTTCCAATCGTCTCCCTTCTTTCTCTTTCCTTCAATCGTCTCTTACTTTATTTCCTCCTCTCTTCTCTTTCTCCCTCTCTTGTGATTCCATTTTTTTAGATCTCTTTGTCTAGTTTAAGTCGTAAAATTTAAAATTTTTAAATCGCAAACCAATCAAGTTTTTGAGTCTTAAAGAAAAGTATTTTCAAGAAATGTTCTTAAGAAATGTTTTTAGAAATGATAAAAATTTTCAAATAGAATACCAAATAGGCTCTAATGGATTTTTATAGAGTTTAATTGCTTTCTAGAGATTCTATGTAAAATTTTGATTCAATTCCCTCGAAATGTCATGGGAAGAGGTGAGATTTGTGAATACTTAAAATACACTACAAAATCTCTCCAATTCCCTCTAATTCCTCAACTTTTCCAAATTCTCTAAATTCTAATTCTAATTGAATACACCTAGAATGTTAGGACTTGTTTGGTATCCTATTTAATTTTTTTCATAATTTCTCAAAACATTTCTGAAGAATTTTTCTTGAAAATAATTTTCTTTAAAATTCAAAAAGTTGTTTGATATGCGATTTAAAAATTCTAAATCTTACAACTTAAACTGGACAAAGAGATCCAAAAAGAAGGGGTTTGAGAGAGAAAGAGGATAGAGGAGGAAAGAAAGTAAGAGATGATTGGAGGAAAGACAAAGAAGTGAGAGGATCAGAGGAGATAGAAAGGAAGATGAGTGAGAAAAAGAATCGAGAGAATGAAGAGAGCGGATTGGAGAAGAGACGAAAAAGGTAAAAAAGAAAAAAAGAGAAGGGCGAGAGAAAGAATAAAAGAGAGATATTTGGAGTGAGATGGGATGAGGGAGATAAAAGAAAGGAGTGAGTTTAACGTTTAAAAACTTTAAAAACTCACTTTTTGTGTTTTTAGAGAATATATTATATTTTTGAGTTAATCTTGAGTTTAGTTTTTGAAAATAATCCCACCAAACAAGTTTTTAAGGTCTAAAACTTGAAAATTGTTTTTGAGTTTAAAAAATTGGATTCAAGTAGAGTACCAAACATGTTCTTATAAACTTCTTTAAAATTCTAATTGAATACAACCAGATTTCTAAGGATTTTAATAAACTATCTTAAAATCCTGATTGAATACACATTGAATTTCAGAGAATCATTTAAAATCCTAATTGAATACCCCTAGATTCATTAAAAGAATTAAAATCCCTCAAAATCCCAATTGAATACACCCCCTAAATTTCTATAAACTACATATGAATTGTTATTAATAATGAACTATAAATTAGGTAAATTATAATACAATGTATTATCATATAGAAGTACCAACAAAAGTATGAAATCAACACTACACTTGTACTTAAAGTTAGTTGAATGGCCGTATCAATTATAGTATTATTCACCAACGGCATCATTTCTTTATCTAGAACCTGCAACAAGTGACATTTTTGAAACAAATTGCAAAGCTCTTGACACATATGAACAACATCGCTAGAAATAGATAACGAAGCTCCTGACACATATGAACACACAAAACTAGAAACAGATCGCGAAGTTCCTGAAACATATGAACTCATAGCATAAGTAAAATTATACATGTCCAACTTGTTAGGGGAGACAAAGTTGAGACTCATATCACCTGCTTTGAATATTTCAGATTTCCATGGAATTCATTGTAATCTCCCTCTTTAAGTGCCCTCAAACAACTGAATTTTTACAAGAGGAAACACAACATTTTCTAATATACTTAAACACTAACATATATTACGATTTCTTCACTTATATGGGATATTCCTATTGCAAATAGTATATCAGATATATCAGGAAAACTGGTACTTGTAGAATTTAACTAGCAAGAAAAATGGCTAACCAGAATGTCAAACATGTCCATTGCATATAAATCCTTGGCAATACAAATCCAGAACATGCATACAACCAGTTTGCTGCAATGACCCAATCAAACCTTTATATGGTGTGGATAAACGATATGTTGATTGAGTCTCTTCACACTGACAAACTTCTGGAACCAAAATCCATAGTACTCAAGGGCCTTACTCCAGTTTCCCTCATGCTCGAAGGTAGTGATTTGAGAGCTCAACTTTCAATACCATCACCACAACACAAGAAAAAAAAAACATATCCAAATATAAGAATATTCAAATGTTTTGAATATAATTTATCTTTGGGACCTTGGACAGTACTATACAGAGGCATGCTCACACATAATAGTGTTTACCTACACAGGGACATCCTCAAAGCAGAGTGATTAACCAAACTCTGCACCATACCCTGAATGAATTGGAAACCTAGTTGAAATTACACATTTCATCTAACTCTAGGACCAAAAATTGATCATATTTTCACAATGAAGAAAAGAGCATTCTACCCAGGCACTAATTAAATGGAGAATTCAATTTCCCCCGAACTTCTTTCTGGTCCAAATGTTCTAATAGTTCAAAATCAATTTTCCTAATCCCAAACAGTAGTACACTAACATTGACCCTATTTTGCCGTTCTACCCAACTTAAGGACAACTAGTTTTCTCAGTATAATCGAACTAATGCACTGATTGAAAGAAGTACAATCGCAAACAGATTATACTGGCAAATTTCAGTTCCATAATAATCAAATTCTATCACATAGTTTCATAATTTAAATACTAAAATCGAAGATAATTGGTAAAATTAATACCTTGCAAATAGAAAATTCTCAAATTCCACTGCCTAGCATGATCTCCCAATTTCGCAACTTTCTGATACAAAGCGATGACCTTCTCCTTGAGAACCCTCCCCAGTATATGAGCCTGGCGTCCACCATAGCCATGGGGGACCCAGAAACCGTACCCCTCAGAAACACGTCGAGCGCCTTGTCCGTATTCGGACTGACTCATCTGCGGCTGTGCTTGAGCCGCTTCCTCCACCGCATGTACATCATCACATGCCTCAGCTGCTGCTGCGCCTCGAACCAAGAATTGCACACCAACAACGGCGCTCAAGCTTGGATGGCTGAGTGTCAGCCCGATTCAGCAAGCATAATAATCAATTAACAAAGAAAACCCTAAAAATTACTTAACTTACTGAATCAGAAAAAGGGAAGATGGTTGTAGTGTCTTACAAAATCTCCGATTGTGCTGCAGGATCTCCAATTTTGCTCCAAAGTTTCCGATGATTCCCCAAAAGCTCTGATTGGATAGATTAAGCCTCTTATTTTTCAGTCGAATAGGAAAGTGGAAAAGGTGCAGGAAGAGAAGGATGATTCTAGAGAATGAAAATGAAGGCGCGTTGGATTGTTTTCATCTGAAAATAAATCGCCTAATTGAAAAATTAAAAAATTTAGGCGCTAAATTTTATTTTGTCTGTTTACGGGTGTCGCAAACTTTACCCAGTGTCGCTTATATTGTTATTTACGACATTATTTGAGACGTTACTTATTCAAGAGTCAGAAATACTTTTGGGCTAATATTTAGTGTTCAAATTTTCTTTTATTTGCGACGGCCATGTTATCTGTCACAAAAAAATGTCGCAAAATGGGTCTTTTTCTTGTAGAGTGTGTGTGTGTAGTGTTTGCATGTTTTCTTTTAAAACCTAACCACTTTATTTATTTCTTAATTTCTTAATCTTCATGGATCTGAATATGGTATGTTTGATGCTAGATTCATGTGTTAATTGTATTATCATTTGTAAAGTCAAACATATTTGGCTTATGTGTAAAAGTATAACGACCACACATGTTTATTTGATATGTGTTGTCTACGTGTTTTATTTGAGTATCTTCACATGTGAGGGTGCTTGTAAAGATACAGAATTTTGCCCCACATTGAAAACTCAAGGGACTTTTGCATATCCCAACCTTATTCCGCATTTGAGGTGGAACATTAACTTCCTTCAACCACACGTCTTCATTGCACTGTTCTAAAAATCCCCACCTAGGCTTGGCCTAGGCTCTAGGCGGTTGACCACTATCCCGATTAATGACTAGGCGTTTGAAAATTAAGAAAGGGCGCCTAGACCTGCTGAGACACCCGCCTAGACCACCTAAGAACCTGCCTACCTGCCCAAACCCGTCTAGGCATCGACTAGATTGCGACTTACTTAGATAGAAAATAGATAGCTTTCATTTTTCATTTTATTTATTTTTCAATAAATTGTAAAAACTTGTTGAATACTTAAATAAATACACATTATATGCTTGTTTCCCTTATTTTCATTATGTCTAATACTTTATAATATATATATATATATATATCATTCTATTTTATAGTTATAATGAAATTATATATTTTTTAAGTATAAAAAGACACTTATTTACATGAAATATAATAGATTTACTTAAATCCGCCGTAATGCCCGCCTAGCCGCTGGGTGCCAAGCCGTCGCTCGACTAGCGCCTAGCGTCTTTTAAAACCTTGGTTTCAATTACACTGAAAATTTCTTTTGGAAGTGATAGAGTTAGAAGCACACATTTCTAGCTAACGGAAATTTCAAAGAAGTAGATGTGATAAATATGTTGCAGTAGCCTCTCTGCGATTAGGCTTTGATCAAGTAAATGGTGTGTGACTTGTTGTACATAAGACGAATGCTAGCTATTTTTACTGTTTATCTTCTCTTTTGTGCCTTTCTCACTCGAAAAAGGATTCTTGCCGAATTCTTTTTTTAGGAATCCTGTAATTGTTACGATTGGAAACTAATTTTATTATATTTTATACCCTAAAAATATGAAATGACCAAAATGCCCTTATAAGTGTAAATGTTGACTTAGTAATCGGGATAGATGTGACATATTAATTTGTATACTTGGTTAGTACTCGTCGTTATGAACTTGCGGATGCAAGCAACACTGAATTTAAATTTAAAATGAAGATTTTACGAAATATGACACATGAAGGGTAATCTAGTAATTTCCTCGGGAGGTTTTTGTTTTGTCTAATTTGGCAGTGTCTTGTGTGCCAAGGGGACCCACAGATCCATCATTCGGGAACTCTCTGTATTTCTCTTGGGGAAAAGCAAAAGGGGAGGGGAAACCGGAGAAAGACAAACTGGTCCCGACAGCGCAGAAGAAAGAGATTTCCCTGTTCTTTGCAGAAAGCTTTAGGTTTGAAGATGTGTAATGCTGCCGTTGCTACCACGGGAGGTGGGCTACTTACAATTGCAGGGGAAGAGAACTGCTGTCTGGAGTCTGAAGTTTGGATTATGCAGAGATGGAGAGAAGCGTGGAAAGAAAAGGAATACGAAAAAGATGATGAAAGATGACAGATGAGAGTTAAGGAGAGGGTTGATATTTGGATGTTGTCCGCTGGTGATGGTGAGGACTGAGGAGTCGCAAGTCTAATTAAGGTGGAAAAGGGAGCTGCTGGACTAATGGCACCATCGGTACAACAAGCAGTTAGTTCTAGTGGCCTAATTAGTTTTATTTCAAATTGAAGGAAAGCTCCTAGCTGGTTCTCTACCTTACGGGTAAGAAAGAAGATTTCAAATTGTTACTTTTCTTATTTAGTTGTGAACAATTGATGGGTGCAGTATGTAGAGAAGGATAAAGACATCCAAGCTATATTTTAGCTAATTATGTCTTTCTTTTTGTTGTTAACCAAGTAGTGACATTTTGAGTTGTGGATTGGCCACCGTTCTTCTAAAACCATTTATAAGATGCTGATTTTTACATATGAAACAGTTTAGTCTTTCAGTACAAATATTGAAAAGGAATATATGGTAATTGTCCAATATATTGCATATCTGTTTAGGGTTTCCCTTTGGCTTAACAAGTTTAGCGATATGTTCTCGACATCTTATTAAATCTATGTGTGGGTATACATTCGAACTAAACCAAATTGGTTTAACATTGTCAGACCTTCTGCACTTCTACTACATATTATTTGAGATATATGTATCAAGTAAATATGATCTATTATGGAGTTGGAAGAAATATTATTACATCTACCCATGGTTTAAAATGTAACCCTTCATGTTTACCATGAAGACAGTATGCATATGTGAATTTGAATTTCACTTGCTCCCTGATTTTCTAAAGGTTGTACTGATTCAAACATTTCGTTTGTTATGACCAAACTATTCTAGATCAACCAAAATGACTTTGAGGATCAGTACTGTGAGATTAGTGAGCTTGAGTATTTTGTTGACGATTAAAGTTCATGCCTTGCATATGGTGTTTTGCTTACACTTGTGAATAAGAGCTATCAAAGTAGGGGTTTCTTGTGTTAACACTCAGAGCAGTGCTTTGGAATCCAGGTAGGGGTAATACGGTAGACCTTTACGAAAATTGATTTTGTGGTCGGATGTTAAATGTAGTATTGCTTTTGTTGGTGTGATTCATTTGTTTGAACCTAGTTTCATGATTGTTAGTCACTTGAATGATCTAGAAAATGGATTAAAAACGGATTGTGAACTACAATTGGCTTGATCCCTCCGAAGGGTACGTAAGCAATCTAACGAGAAGTTAGATGCAGCCATAAAATAAACGAGATTAAATATTAGTGGAAAATCGTCAAAGAGAGAAATGTTAGTATGATTAATAACATAAAGGGTTACTATGACATTTTTGGGCCTATCACCGTAGTTAGCTTCCGTATAAAATTTCTGAGGTGTTACAGTAATCGTGTCTGTTCATCATACATTGTGCGGTTAGTTTTCGTTCGGTTCTATTTATATTTGAATTTTAAATTTTAAATGATTTCTGACTGCATGACGTACAATGAACGGACACAATTACAGAATCCTTAGGATCCCTAAGAAATAGATCCAACGAGAATCCTTTTATTTCTCACTTACCCTTCTGACATGTGAAATTCCATTACACATAAAACTAAAATATTAATATACAGAAAGTTTGGATTTTTCTCTTCCCTTCGTTACCCTTATTATAAATCTAACAAATAAAAAATAAAATTAAAATGGGCCCGCCCACCTATCTCTCCACCATCTTTTAATTTGTGCTATTAGGTCATTTTATACTCTATTAAAAATAGTGGTGTTTTGCGAGTGATCTTTTGTCACAGTGGTGGAAAGGTCTTACGTCCTTACATGATGGTGTAAGTTTGAAACCCGTAAATAACTAATCTAACATCCAATTTACTAATGCTATCGCTCGACTCAAAAAAAAAAAAAAAAAAAAAAAAGAAAGAAAGAAAAATAGTGGTGTTTTAAATAGAAAAACTCAAACCAATTGTACTACTCATTAATTATACTACTCATCACATAACTATAGTAAACATCATAAAAATTGACAATAAAAAGAGTAATTCAACTCCTTGTAACCCTTGCAAGGTTTGATAAAAGAACACAAATCAAAGAATATTCCTTTACAAATGAGGATGTTGAAGATTTTTTCACATCTTTATTAGAGCAAGGGTTGATCGAGCTTCCCAAACGTAAGAAACCGGATGTGGTAGGACGGGTAGAAGATCATCACCGATATGAGACTTTTTACTTCACATTCTTACTTACTGAATTGTAAAACTAATTATTCAGTCAAACATTCTTGCTTCCCTTCTGCCCGCTATGTCCTTACAGTATGACCTTTTTACAATAGTTCTCACTGTTAATTGTGTATTGCGCGAGACTTTTCAGGATTACATCATTTATTTTTCTTTGTTGTCTGGAAAACTTCGCACATTGAAGGTTTGGTATACTTCAAATGATTTTATATGAATTAGAGGAAAATGATCTATAGACTCGTGTAAGTCATGTGCTTATATTTGATGAAGTTGTGAGTTCTACGATACAATTGATATTTGATGAAATTTGTAATTGCTTAGTATTATTTTGTTCTTTCCAATGGTGGCAATTTCGAAAACAATTTGAAACTCGCATGAACATAAGTGTCAATATGTTCACAATCAAAATGCGATTGACTATGTATAGTAAATATTATTTAATAATTCTATACTTTTTCAATTATATGCTAATAGTATAAGTTGTCATATTCTGTATATAATTATTTTTAATGCAAAACAAGAATTAAAAATAATTACAATTGTCTCAAAAATAGCATCTCCTTCAGTCAAACTGTAGTTGTAGACAAAGTTATCTTTGTCAATCCCATCCAACTTGTGCTTTGCATAGCTGTATTCACTTCCTTCATCAAAGCTAATCTTCTTCATCGTTCCAACACTTCCATCTCCCTCAAGAATTTCAGCAGTTTTGATTGCTTGTGGAGCAATTTTTGGAATGAGATTGTCAGCATCAAGAACAAGGGCATTGTACAACCTAGCAGGAGGGATGACAGAGGCGTATTCGGTTTTGTATGTGAAGACACCCATGGTGATGATTTATATGAGCTTAGAAAAATGATCCAAAAAAAATTAAGAATGAAATGAGGGGAAGCAAAGAGGAAGATTGGTATTGGTGTGCAAAATATGATCATCAGAGACGGTATTTATAGATTGGCTTTTTAGCCAAAATAA